CATCATGTTGCTTTGAGATGATCGTCACCAAATTACACACATAACACAAATTATTATATTTGAATTTAAACCCGTATTGGTAAACATGCATAAAACATGACACTCCAATACAGAAAAAATAATTAACACAAACAATCTACCTAAAACGTAAAGATGAAGAACACGAAGACCGACTTTGAGACGCACAGCTTCCAGCCTTTTTTTTGATAAACACAGCTTCCAGCCTTGTATGGAGATTTCTAAAACCTAGGTTTCCTCTTTTTATACAAAGAATTATAATTTATTATTTTTATAGGATAAATTCTATAAATTATTGGCCTTAATACACAAAACGAAAAATTAATAAAAAAAAAAGAAATTTTGAAGATATTGTTAAGATTTTCTATATTTTTTTTGGTTTTAATACAATAAATGAATAATTAATAAAAAAAAATTTAGAAGATTTAATAATAGATTTTCATTAAGGGCATCTCGGTAAATTCGCGGTTGAGAGTTAACGTGATACCTCCATTTGAAATTCTGACTTTGCAAATAATAGTATGATATAAACAGTAGTAAATTGGTCGTCGTGTGTTCTATTTTAACAAGCTATCGTGAGTCGTGACGCCAATGCATGTGTCTCCCGCTAAATCACTCATCTTAACCTCTTTTTTGGTTTTACACTCGTCATACATAATCTAAAAATATGTTAAAATATATTGATGAAATAGTTGGCAAAATATATATATATATATATATATATTGATGATGAAATAGTTGGCAAAAAAAAAAAAATATATATATATATACTAGATTAGGCCCCGCGTATACGCGGGTTTATTTTTTATTTTTTAAATCACGGAAGAATATTAAACAAAATTTGATCAATTTTAAAAATAAGAAAATAATATTAAAAACCCGATAACAAATCTCTAAATAAAGATATGTAGTCTTTTACATTTTTATTTTGAATTCATGATATGAAATAGAAAGATTTACATGTGTCTAAATCTAATCGACTCATTATTTTATGAAACTTTGATTATTCCATGATGAAATCTTTATTTTTAATATTTTTTTACCTAACAAAACATGGAAAATTAAACTATTTAATATTAGAAGATCAGTCCATTATAAAATTTTCTTTTTTAATATTATTTAGTTCCTTAATAATTATTTTGTTAGTTTTCTATTTATATTGTTTCTTTTTCAATTTCGTTTTTGCCTCTGACCATTATAAATTTTCATTTTCATTATTAGTTAGTTGTTTTAATATTATTTTGTTAGTTTATTTATTTATGTTACTACATTTTTCCAATTTTCTTGTGTTGACACATGTCATCACTTCATCAAATATTAGACACATGTATCGATCTAAAGTTAAGTATCTTTAACTTTTAAAGACATGAATTTTATTTCTTAATGAGAAAGAAACTTAAAAAATATAGCTTGTTATATATTGTTTTTTTTTTCATTTTCGTAATGGGAATATGTTTTTTTATTCCTTTTCTTATTGGATGTAACATTTTTTAATTATTTCTTCATGTTTTTCTGATTTTCGTTTTTTTTCCTTTTCGTAATAGAATTATGTTTTTTCTTTACTTCTCATAATGGATGTAATATTTTTTCTTTTTAATTGTTTGTTTCCTGTTTTCTGATTTTTCCTAATGTACTAATAGGATTTTATTCAAATAATTTTAATTTCGATCCAATTGACCTAGAGTCAAATAATCTCCACTGTTCTCTTGAACTTTCAAAGACATGATTTTGAAATTAGAGAAAGAGAATCAAAGAGATTTTCTGAATTTGCTTTGATGAGTTTGTGAATGAGAAAAAGAGACTACAATAGCTCTCTTTTTATAGGGGGTTCATGTAACCAATTTCATACAGTTTTAGGATATTTAGTTTACATACCTATTACATGTACTAATAGGATTTTTTTAAATAGGAGTTTATATAACCTATTCCATACAATTTTAGGATATTTAGTTTACATACCTATTCCATATACTAATAGGAATTTTTTATTACATTATTTTCATTTTATTATATAAAATTTCGTTTTTATTATAAGATATTAAAATTTTCTTTAAAATAAAAATTTCCTTTTTCCGAAGACATGTGTCACGATCTTAACGGATATAACATTAAAAGTGACACATGTCGCAATCCTATATTTTATAAAAATCCTACGTGTCGCAACACATCGCGCGCATCCAGCTTTATATAATAAGATATTGATGAAATAACATATTTAAAGATCTATTTTTGTATGGTATGACAAGTTTTAGAAAAAATTATATGAATCTTTATCAATAAAAAACATTATGCGGATTCAATTTGTTATATGATTTAGCTTTCAATAAATAAAGTGGTAGACTACCTCATTTATTTTTTTATGGTAAAAACTAGTATCTCCTAATTTCTAAAAATGAAAGTTATGTTGCAAAATTTTGTTCAATGGTTTTGAGTTTTATGATTTTTAAAGTTACGCCTTAAACATTTTAAGATAATAGACATTGTGATGAGTATCAAAACGGGACATCGATGCTTTAGTTATTAAATAATCAGGAAGATGATAAGGCTTGTACTCAAACGATGTTCAAATTTAATTTTCTTTGTTGAATGGTATTCATTACTTTTGTTTCTTGTATTATAGAAAAACGTTGTACTTATTATTGGGCCCCTTATTATTTACGAATGTTCTAAATATCTTGAAACTTTATCTGATTAACTCCTACAGTCGTATTTTGATATATACGATACGAGCATTCGATTCATGAAATAATGATTCATGACAGATGATGATGTTAATTTTTGTGTCTGTTTCCGTTAAACTGTTTTTGTTAAATCTTTAATTTAGTTCGTTTTATTGTAACCATTTCTATATATAGTTATATAATACACTCTTTAGTCCTCACCGACACACTAAAGCTTACCAATCAAACTCATATATAATTTGATGCAAATCTATCGTTGTGTCCAGTGGTGGCGACATATCATGCATAATCGACTCAGCACCATTTAGTGTAAAGTCGGATTTTAATCCATATCCAATAAACAAACAAAGCGTGGGACAATCGATCTCTTAATTATTCAATCTAATTACACTCAGTCTCTAGCCTTTCTTCAAGGATGGTAGGCGGATTTATATGAATTTTGGAAGAAACGTAATAAATAGAAGGATTCATCGAGGTTTGTGTTTTACCTCACTCCACCATTTACCGGAAGATTGATCTAGCTAGTCTTGAGAGATAAGTCTATTACTCTAAAGATTACGGGATCAAAACATGTGGTCAGGCTTGACTCTATTGTACTGAATCCATCTGATATGGTTCGCCAAACTTGTGTTGACAATCTTTGTTATGTTTTTTCTGTTTCTGATCCATGGCCTTGTATGTTTAAATTTATATCTTGATACCTCTTAAAGTACGTCGAAAAAGTTTTTCAAATGATCTAAATGGATGAACAAAAATGGATCCTACTAATTTATTAACCAATCACTTTTTTTTCGGTAACTTGCATTCTGTATGTGGACTTGAATTCAAATGGTGATACAACAATTATAGTAACACAAATCAAGACTGTATGTTTCGATCAATTACTGACCAATCATTTTCAATTGAAAATTATATACAAAAAAATATATGTATTCAACAGATTTGACTTTTATTTTGTGACACGTTTGATCATTTATTCATCATTAAGCCGGTTGGTTTTAGGCTTTATTTGCAAAAGTCTAACATAGAAGCTCAAACGTAAAGGACGAATAAACAGTCGATGCCTTAGTAATATCTAAACGGACAAACAAGTAATCAAGTGTGTCTAATTTTGTAATATTGGTAACCAGCGTTTATCAAAGTTTCAAAATGCATATTATGAGATGTCAATTTTCAAATTACACCTCTAAGTGGTAATTTTCAAAACTACATTTTTTCATTGAGTAAAATAACTTTAAACCTTAAAATATAAAATTTAAAATATAAAATCTAAACTTCAACCCCTAAGTCTAAACCCTAAACCCCAAAATCTAAGTCCTAGTCAAGGATTAGTTAACCCAAACTTAAATTTTAAATTTTTAGTTTTGAAAATTGACAGAGATGTATTTCTTAAAAAAGTTCTTATAACCAAGAGAAAGAAAACGTGTTATATGCATGTGGATGAGAGTGAATACGTAAAAAGTAGTGAAAATGAACAAGCCAACTCATAATTAATGGTAACGTGCGATGTGCACCAACTAATGACCCTCAAATACAGATGGGTCAACATCTTTCATACAGTGTTTCATAGGCCACAGCCTAAAAATACAACTGGATATTATTAATTTTTTGGTAAAAACAACTGGATATTGCAGAAGAGAAAAGAATACTCGTGCTTAGCAAATAAACTGGTCAAGGTCAAAAATAAAATTAACAGTGCAAAATGAAAAAAAAAAAAAAAAAAAAAAATCTGCTGATTTTGGTAGAATAGTTGATCTTGCAAGTCGTTTCAGTATAATGATGATTCTACTATAATTTGATTTATCATCTGATTATTTTACCTTCTTTTTTTGCTTTCTACGACGAACATGTAGCTCTCTTCACACATTTTACGTCACAACACATTAATGTTATCACACGATTGAAAGGAAAGGAGTTAAAGACAGAAGAGAACAAGAAACAAAATACTGAATGCTTTTAACTTGTTCCCCTTTTCTTGAATCTTGATGATTCTATTTGTTACAGAGAAACCGTCTCTCATAAGTTAATCTTTCTAATGCATAAACAGAAATTGGAAACTCAAAATGTCTTATATAATTTCAACCTCTGTACTTGCTGCTGTCCCCAAATCTTCACCACACGACCATCTAAAAAACCTTTTGCTTTCACTTCACCAACTTCCAACTACGACCAACATTCCATAACCTTGGTCATCCTGCAACAATGCATACCTATTCTTAAAACAACAAAGTACCTTCAATTTAAATGTGAAGAGTGTAAAAATGAGCACCTTGAATTCATTTTATTCTTCTCTTCACAGAGTTAGAGACTTAGAGCGTATTGTCTAGACAATGGTTGAATTTCTTGGCTCGTCACAAGATTTAAAAAACAAAAGTCAATAGGTAAATTGCTCTTTCGAGTTCCTGTAAAGAAAGAAGAAGACATAAACAAGAGTTTTGAGAAATTGTATACCTTCAGTCTCTGTAGACAACCAATCATGAGCACAGAACAAAGCCTGTCCAATATCAGGACTCAACGAGCTCTGGCTATCAGCAACCAACGGCCTCCCCAAGTTAAACGTTGAGTCAGGCGCAAGAATCGACATCGGCGTCCCCAAAATGTCTCGTGCCATCATCGACAGGACAGGGTACCTCGGCGTATGGACCTTCCAGTAGTTCAGAATGTTGAACTCGCCGCCACTACGAGGAAAGATCGGCTCAGACAAGTACTTGTCCAAATCCGTCGTTGTGTTTTGGTTCTGAGAAGTCTCATGGAGAAACTTGTCGAATCCTTTCAGTCTGTCTCTAGTGTCCATGCTTGCTCTACCTAAGCCGCCAGAGAAGGAAGAATCATCACCTCCAAGGCCTGAGCAGATCGAATACGCATCAAGAAGCTCCTTGACGCCATTGGACACTTCCTTGATTCTGTCCAGAGCGGTACTGCCATAGATCTTGGAGTAGTAATACTCTACAAGTTTCATCTTGAACCTCGGGTCCAAGATCGCAGCGATTGCTAAAACAAGACTGCATTTGTTCCAGTACTCATCGAACTTAGCCTTCATCTTCGCTGCTAGAGAGCTTAAGAAACTGTCTTGGCTCTTGCACCACTCTATCAACTGGATGTGGATGTCACACATCTCAGCAAAGTACACATTCGCTGTTGGACACTTGTTTCCTGAGAAGACAGAGGCAATCTCGAACACAAGTTTGAGATAACCTGTGACTGATCTCGTCCATTCCCATTCTTCATCGGTTAGAGACGAATCAAACGAGTGGTCGTGGTCACGGAGATGGCAAAACGCACTTTTGTACTCGAGCACGGTTTCAAGCATGGAGTAAGTAGAGTTCCAGGTGACAAGAGAATCAAGAACAAGAATCTTCTCGGAGTTGATCCCCGCGAGCTGAGAGATCTCGTTGAACCTTGCTTGTGTTGACTGCGAGCTCTTGACATACCTAACGCTTCCTCGAATCCTTTGGATCACATCTCTCATATCCTCCAAGCAATCTTGGACAAGAGAGTTAAGAACATGAGCTGCGGATTTCAGCTCAAATATCTGGCTGCTCTGAGACATCATGTGGTCTTTAATCCTCAAGAAGATCTCATCATTCAAAGAGAAACCATCGAAGGTAACAGCGAAAAGCTTGCTCTCAAGACTCCACTCCATCAAACACCTGATGATAACTTCAGAGAGCATGTCTTCAGTATGAGAAGGATCCAAAGTGATAAAGTTTAGAACATTCCTCTGTAGCCTCCACTCCTCATCGATGTAATGAGAGGCCAAACACACATAGTTAGCATTATCCCTAGAAGACCACATCTCCACGGAGAGATTTACCTTGCCGTACAAGTTGTTGAGAGTGTGTTGCACTCTCTCCTTCTCTCTAATGTACATCTCCATACACGAGTCCTCAATGGAGCTGTTAGGCACAGCTTCAAACAAAGGCTGGAGATTCCTAGCAAACACTTTGAAACCAACATGATCAACCATTGATAGAGGATAACCGTGCAAGATAATCATACGTGCAAGATCAAGCTGGCTCCTTTCTTGACTAAACCTCCCTCCTCCACCACCGCTTCCTCTGGTTAGAACAGCCTCGTCCCTACGCTGCTCTTGATCGAACTTTGGCCTTAGATACTCCTCTTTCGCTTGGCCTTCGTCGAAGTTGATGGTGGCGACTGTTACTGGATTTTCTTTCTTCCTTCTTTTTGGTGTTAGGAGCTGAGACATGTCGTGGTTTGTTCTCTTGAGACACCGCATGAGATGGTTCCGGAGATGAGTCGTTCCGCTGTTGCTTGACCCGCTCAGTTTCTTGTTGCACTGAATGCAAACGGCGTAGCACACATCAGCTTTTCTCACTCTCTCAAAGTAGTTCCAGACGACAGATGTCAATCTCTTTGATTTCTGCAGGATGATCTCATTTGATTCATCCATCATTCAAATCCCCCTATTTCATTTGAATAAAGGAACAAACTTTAGACTGAAAGCAAACACATTTCAGCAATTAAAGAACCTATCATCAGCATTATACACTTCTATAGCTATGAACAACAACAATTAAAAAAAAAAAACTTGACGAAAGCCATTGCAACAGAGATTAATTAAATTATGTAAACATGGATGCAACACATTCTAACACAACCACATAAATTTGATAATTTATGATGAATTGAAAATCAATCACAAGCTAACATAATTTCGACGAAATTGGTGCTACACTAGAACAGAAACAAACAAAAAGACCCTTTTGAAATTCGAGAACTGCATATGAAGAAGAGTGAAAGACGAACAGAGGAAAAGCAAAAAGGTTTGAAATTTGGAGAAGGCACCTTTGTTTATAAAAGAAAGGGAAAGCCGTCAGAATTTGTGGAGACTCAGACTACAATCGGAGGATCCGATGAGTTCTTTTAAGGGTTACGGGTGGAAGAAGCTGGATCAGAGAATATCAGATCCGATGAGACGATTTGGGTTTATTATACTGACCCGAGTTTTAGGGTTCCGGGTGGGTTAAACCAAAAGATGTAGCTAAGAGGAAAACCGATCCGGTTCTGGATCCGACTTTATCCCGGTTTCGTTAAATCCGGGGTAGATCTGATTCCGCGATCCAATCTCACACTAAATCCAATATATTTTATTATTTTCGTAAGGTAAACCACATTAATCCAAAATTTATGACGTTCTGAAATTTTCCAATCCTCGAATTTTACCATAACAATATCAAAAATGTCTTAAAAGCCTATTACAAAATGACGAATTTTACCAGAACAATATCAATATCAGTACTTACCTATTCTTGAATCACAAATTATAACTCTTACAAGTTACTGAACCACTCATACATTACATATATATACACACTCGAAAAAAAAACAATAAGGCAATGAAAAAGTCCTTAAGTTTCTTTCTCGCTCTAACAAATAAATTTTTCTCAAATTCATGCACCGCGTTGTTGATGCATCCAGGCAGGAGGAACACGGTCAGAAGTCCCCGGAGTAATCGGCGGAGGGAGGCTTCGAATATGAATGCTTTGAGGATATAAACGATACTCAATATCAAGCTCTCTACAAACTTTTCCAACTTCCTCTAGCAATAGACCTCTCCTTATAAACCTCTCTCCCATATCTTGAAAATTCATTGTATGTGTCAACCACACTGCGATCTTCACACTTTTCAAGTCATCCATGCTTAGTAACACAATCATAGGTGCAGGATACCAATGATCCTTCTTGTTGTCTATATAACTGCATTATATCAAAAAGAATCAAAAGGTTAGGAATCTTCGCTTGCAAGGTACTTAACGTAACCTAGCATATTAAGTAAGTTAGGGTTTTGGGGTTTAACTTACTTGAGTATTCTCTGTTTGATAGCAGCTATCTTCTCGTGAGGAGTTGCTATATGAACACAGAATTCAACCGCATCTCCCATATCGGGACTTCGGTTATAGTTAGCTATAGGTTTTGTGCCGAGAAGACTATTCGGATACACGATCTTCTGATTATCATATCGCAAGAAAACAGTATTCAATATGTTCATTTCCTCCACAACCAACTGTAATATACCCACATAAAAGATTAGAACACCAGCAAAAACTTTAACTCGTGTATAAAGATGATTGTGTAGAGAGAAAACAAACCTGAACACCATCGATTTCGCAGCGATCACCAACGTCAAATGGGTGCATCACGAAAAGGAAAATGATGGCTTCAAAGATGGTTTTGCATGAGTTTCCGAATATAAAGGCTACTAGAAGGAGCTGAGAGCTTAGGACTAGCAAGAATTTGGTTGTGGCGATTCCGAGTATAAGAAGCCAGATGATTATGATTATAATGCCAATCAAAACGTTGATTATACGGTGAAGCCGGTTCACTGCTGTTTTTGTATCGTTTAACGTCAAAGCCAGAGCCCTCCGTTCTCTAAACGCCTTAACCTGTAAACAAATCGCTAGGTCAAGATAACTCTGTTTTTCTTTTCTTTTTTTTGTATATGAAAAGATTCTTGACTTAAAGAATTTGAGATTTTACCACCCAATTCTTGAGGCAAGACTTGCTAATCTTATTGCTCTCTTGAGCTCCTTCAAAGAGAGCCATGGCTCTTTCAGACTCCTCTTCGGACAGAAACCGCAAGATGTCTTCCAAATATATGTACCTAAAACCCCCCCAAAAAAAATTGTCTTATATATCAAGATTTGAGCTTAAACCAAACTAAAGCAAGAAGTTTGAGAAGTTTGATCAGAAGTCTTACTTGGTACCAGGCTCAGTGACATTGTGGAAAATCTTCTTAGCAGCAACTTTAGCTTCGCACTCGCTTCTTATCTGTGTAGCGTCCTCATCCTCTGGAACTGTGTCCTGTAAATGTTGGTCTAACGTAGAAAGAGCGCCTTTTCGTATTATATTCATCAGTTTCGTCATATTCCAAGCAGACACATTGTCAGTGTTCATTCTCTGCAAATGATCAATCCTTATCCCTTCGCTATCTCTCACTTTCTTAGAACCAACCCTAGCCAGTCTCGGACCAGGACCTTTCCCTACTTTCATAAAGCTTTTGACCGTCTCCTTTAAAGCCGGAGGCAGCTTAGCTCCAGCCAATCTCTCTAAACTCTTGACATCTTCAATCATTTTCTCCTCTTCTTCCTCCATTCTCTGAATCTCCATCAAAGGAAGACCCGAGAGCGTCTCAATCACGTACTGAGTGAACACCGATTCTTGAATCCGGTCAAAGTAAGCGCTCATGTGGAACGACGAGGCAAGAACCTTGACCAGAAGCGTTTTAATCAACCAGATGATCACAGCGACAAGCAAACACACAAGCACTCTCGTCACGTACCTAATCGCCGTGTAACGAGTCGCTCTTTGTACTTTCTTGTCGAACAAGAAGTGCCACGCAAGCAACACTAGCCCTAACCACAAACACCCTTGAACCGATCTTCGTACTCCGTACACGAAATACAAAACCCTTTTCCTCAGGAGCAAGTTTTTCTCGGCGGAGAAGACGAGTATCCTCACTATCCAGCTCGAGACCAATCTCCCGCAAATCAAAACCAAAACCGTCACTTCCCATTTCCACAAATCCAGCTTCCACCATGTCTTGCGTTGCAAGCTATGTACGGTTAAGCTACAGACCAAACTCGTAACTATCAGAATCAGACTTATCCATTCAAGAATCACCCAGATGCTGAGTTTGTCTCTTTTGAACTCCCTCGGCAGATCCTCGTCCATGAACGGATCTTCTTCTTCTTCCTCTTCATGTATCGCACCGCGAGCCGGAGTCCCCGGTTTAGGGCTTTTCCCGAGAAAACCGGATGAAAAAATCCCGGTTCTTCGACCAGACTTCATCTCTGTTTTGTCAATCGCTGGATGTGTCGGTGTCGGAGGATCAATCAGTCTCGATTTCGTCTGGTTCCTCCTCAGTATCGGTGGTTTATTAGCGCTACACTTGACAACCTCCGCCTCTTCTCGTTTCCCGTTACCGTGTCTGCCTTCTTCGTCGCTGCTTTCCCCGAGCGATATCCTCCTCTGCCTCCGTCTAAACGCGTCGGTTTTTCCTTTCACCGTGAATGGAGAAGACGATTCGGATATCGGCGTTAGGCCACTTGGCGTGGTGCTGCTGTGGAGCTCTGCTATGTTGAGCTGCTCGATATCGAGAGAGATCTCGCCGCCGGAAGTTTTCTGCCTTTGAAGAAGCTGGTCGACTACCTTCGGAGGCGGAGCAGATATATCATGCGACCGTGCTCTCCGCCGCGTGAAATGGAAACTCCCTCCGTCGTCTTCGCCGCCGACGTCGCCGTCTTTATCATCGTTCTTGCCCTTTTCTCCATCCCAGAAGTCGTAGCTCGACTCCCTCCAGATATTCCCTCCGTCAGCATTGCTGCTTGACCCTGTAGCACCAACGGCTCCGCTCTCTTCGCCGTTGATTTTCACGATGAAGTCCCGCCGATCAGTTGAATCGACGGCCATGATGTGGGTGGATATTAGATCTCGCAAAGCAAGAAGATGAGATTTTCTTTCGTTGAGTTTAAGTGTTTAAGTAACCAACAAAAAGAGTTACTATTTCAGCACGATTGGAGACGATTGGTTTTTTTATTTTATAAAAGAAAGTTTGGATTCTTCTTTTGTCAGAGACGAGTGGCAAGTACAATCAGAGAGGAAGGAAGATGAGGGTAAGGGGTAAGTAAACGAATTGAGCTAATAAATAATAAATGCCATACGACAAAACAACAAAAGCAAAATAGAAGGTGTATTTTTGTGTTAATGAGAAAGTCGAATAAAAATGGGTTTGTTCCTTAATATTCAAACGTGTTAATGTTTTTTTTTTATGCCATGATAATAGTATTAAGTATGTCGATCCATGTGAGATGATGTGATGTGAATTGGTGGTGGGAGGGGATTAGATTTGTGCTAATTGCTGAAAGCAACAAAAACAATAATTCGATAAAGTTTTTGCCTTTTTTACTATGTCCCCTGAAAAAATAGAAATAATAGTGTGTTGTTTGTACGGAATGAAAAGGAATGCCAGCGCGATAATGGGATTTTTCAGAAAATGATAATATCTATTTTTGCTAAAACCATAGACAAAAACTTTGTTTAAAAAAAAAGGATATTCTAACTGTTTTAGTATAAGCATCGTTTTGATTCCCAGATTTGATTACTTAAGAAAAATATTACACATGAACTTGCCATGATTTGCGCGACTCCACAAACGTCATCACGCAACACTGTCGCTAAATTAAGAGGAACTGAATCAAAAACATGCAAGCCCTAAGGCAACGAAAATGCATAAGTTGCTAGTCCATCCACTAGATAATTAGCCTCCCTATACACAATACACATGAGAGAATCGGACTTCCCAGTCTTTCGATATGAAACCGCGGCACAAGTGTACTAGGAAAGACAAGGGATGTGTATCTAAAATCCCTGTCATCAAGAACCCAACCACCATCAATGAATCAATCTCTACCTCTAAGTGCCGAACTTGTTTCTCCCAAGCAATACAAATCCCGTAATACACATCCCACAACTCTGCTAACGGCGATGTATAGCGCCCAACATTCAGAGCAAAACCACCACACCACTGCCCATCCCATTACGTAACATTCCACCAACAGTTGCCGCACCCGAGTTACCATATGATTTCAGCTTCGTCCATCCCACCAAAGGCGGTATCCACGATATTATTAGTCACTCCTGTCTATTTGTTGATACCTTTTTCACATGAAACAACGTATAAATTAGCATGAGTATTACTTTATACATCTAAAAGAAACTATGGGATCTTGTTAAGTTTTCAATTCTTTTGTTTTAGATTTCGTTCTTTTTTTTTTTCAAAGTTACCGTTTTGTGCTTTCAATGTAGAGATTGTTACAACAAAATCCCTACATATTTCGTTGTGAAGAGACTATCACCACTGAATTCTTCCTTTATTGAATATTTATTTCTAACAAATTTTCTCTTGTGCCACAGTGTTGTTACTTGTTGCAAAAAGCAAAAACCCCAGTTGCTTCAACCTGTGGCACAGTTTTGTCAACATTAGCTGATCGACTGGAGATTTTATTGGATGATCTTAAATCGTGATCCTTACGCGATGTTCTTATCTCGTTTGCTAGTTTAGCTTGTATTGCATTTATGTTTAGCCTTTTGCCAATTTATCGAGCATGTCATTCCCATCTGCAATGGAGACTTAATTTGATGAAATTCAATGGTTCACAAAAAGAAAATTTAACCAGTAAATAAAATTACATAGTACAATCGATTATAAATCAGAAAAGATTACTTAATTTTACACTGATAAAATGAAAACTGAAAACATTACTTAATACGTAAGTACTAAAACATCAATGATTTATGATGAATTTCACATTTATTACGTAATCATCACAATCAATTTTATTACGTAAGTACCACCCAGTTTGACCTATTATAGTATAAAATTCCAATTCATCTCATATAGCACCGAAACATGATTCTGCTGATTGACTGGACCATGTCTAATTGGATTGAATCATTACGAATCATATTTGATATATGGTCCAATAAATATCTCATAAATATATCTTATTATCAGCACTACCTCTTATTTTATAATCCTAGTACTCAGACTCGTGTCATCCTCGCAATGGTTTTGAGTATCGCAAGTCAAAAAGTACACAGAGATTTGGAGTTTGGAAGATCTAAAGAACGGCCTTATTAGTGAAAAATCTTACTGAAAAAAACACTAGGCCACTAGCTAAGTAAGCAAAGTTAAAAACGTGTATATATAATCCAAACAAACACGGAATATAAAATTAAATGAACCTGTTGTGCCAGACGAGCTTACGTGGCCACGTATTGGAAACGGAAATTTATTATTATAATAATGCCAGTTGGACTGATAAGAAAGGAACACGTGGGTGACCATAGTTGGTCGACTGGGCGAATAAATACAAAGGTTGTAAGAAAACGACAGGAAAGCGACAGGTGATGTAAGAAAACGGCACACAAACCAGAGACGCAACTAAGCTAAAGGTCAGTCGACGTGGTTTCTCGACCAGATTGGGACACTGAATAATGATGCTGAGCATATCTTGTAATTATCGTTTCTACTAAAGATAGATAGAAATCAGAGAAAAAAAATAAGTGTGTAATTTCGGGAATGTTCAATCCGATTTGGCTTTCGTTTTGATGTTTTTCTCTCATTTTATTTTTCAGTTTTATTTGAAAAAATACTATCTAAAAAGAAACAAAATTGGATATATATCGATTTGGTTTGTTTTTTTGGTCGACAGATGATGACATATAACGCAACGATAATATGCAAACCACTAGATTATATTTTTTTAATCGATTTTTGTGGTTTATTTTTAAATGAATTTTCAGTGGCATACACATATACGCTTTACTAAATTGGATATATTTATTTGGTTTAATTTTTTCAAATAAAAAAAATAAACCAAAGTAAAATATAAGAATACTATTTCAGACAGAGATCAAATGTTTGTTGTTTCACATTTGAACGGTTTGATTGTTGAAATGTGTATAATTCTACTTTAAAATCATTGAATGATAGCAAGAAAACAACAAAATCAAATGATGGCTAAAAAGAATAGGGACAAACAGAGGATGCAAATATTTTATTATTTTTGGATCTAAATTTCTTAATCACGATGTATAGTGAAAAATCCACCAAATTAAATATGTTTGTCAAATATCTGATTGCTGCTGGAAATTAATGGCATTATTGTTTCACAACCAATGCGGTGAAAGTTTTACAAAGAGTAATTTCCTAAAAAGTAACCTTACACACATTTAGTTTCAATATAAGTGTTATATTATAATATTTGTGTACTTTCAAATTAAATAGATATTGTTTTACAACCTTCTTATAACGTTTTTCACAGAATACATATTTTAACCCAATTCAAAATTAATGAAATGAATTAAATTTTCAAAATGCATGTGTATGTAGGGGGCAGGGCCTATATACTTTGAAAAACTTCAAAGAGTTTTTTTCATTATTACATAATGTAATTTACATCCATCTAATTAGTCAAAACTAAGAAAAGTTTTGAAACAAGGAGTGATGAATAGTTTTTTCAGCCTACGATAAAATTAAAAACATGGATCTTCTTAAGTAACAAAACAAAAAAATAAATAAATCATATAATCAAATAAATTAACAAAGGGAGATCTCCTCTATGCATTTTCAGATAATAAAACAAAAGAAGAAGAAAACACCCTATGGCTTTGGTACGTTAAACTAACATGAGTTTATCATTGTAAATGGATTTTTTTTTTATGAACTTGAATTATTTTTTTCATCGCTTCCGGCATCCATTTACGTTAGCACGGCTCTCCTAGGGGCATATATTAATTTGTGTACAAACTATCAAAATGACACTTATATTAAAGCGGATGAATTACTATTTGAAAGCAACTTAATTATAGGCGAGAATAATTAGAGGAAAAGTTCATGAAAATTAGATTAATTTAGTTGCGGATTTGAAATGTGACTGAATCTCTAAAGCTTTTCATGAATCGTGTAGTATAGGGACCGTTGGACGTTCTAAAAAGAGTGATTTGGCCGGTGAACGAAGTTATGGCCGAAATGACATGTTTGATTCTGTTAGAATGGAAAAATGAAAATGAAAATGGATTATATGCATTGATTGTTTGTGATTGTTAGATGAGAAGACGATTGTTAAAAGACATGGACCACAATTCGTTAGACGTCCAGATTGTTTCTGTGGAGCCTCGGTCCAATCATCATGCATGCATATATAATATTTTTGTCTATGTGGGCCATATGGGTTTTGTGATCGTGAACAATGGTTAAGATTTTCTGTGATTTTTTCATCGTATTCGATCGTTCATTCGTTACACGAACGATTTGATAGAATTTCATAAGCTTTTCTCTCGACTTGTAGTCATGGCTTCATTCGCAGCATTCTTTGATCCTCATCCTTATTTGAGTTTCATCATTTGGGACCGCATCATGACCACATAAATTTATAAGATATATAAGTATATTTTTTATTAAAATAAGCCAGCCTATCACATATGTTGTGGTGCATGTATAACTGTATATTAATAATATTACGACTTTCAAAGTTTTCGATATTATAATTATTAAACAACGTGCATGCGAATATATTTAACGATATGTATTCCATTTAGATTTCAATTTTTTTTTTTTTTTTTTTTTTTTTTTAGATTTCAATATTGTAGAAGAGACTCTAGTTCACTTTTTGATTTTGTACCAATTATTTTAAAACGTGATCATGCGAATACTCAATTCCTAAGTATGCATTGAGATTATTTTATTAGCTGGTGCCAATGATCCTGCTTACCATTAGGATTAGTCAGCTCTAGTTCCGAGCTTCGCCATGTGAGAACTCGGCAACCAAACACACAAAACATTACGTCTCTAACAAATATCACACGCTTTCTGGCACAGTGAATCAGCACAATATGCTAAAAACTGTAAATATATTTACACACCATATGATATCTGATATATAAGATAGTATAATCAATGATATTTACATTCATTATAAATCTTACTCTATTTCACTTTTTTTTATTGTATATATCAGTTTTTCGAAATAAAATTTTACCTTTTTCATTTCTTCTTTGTTTATTTTGTTTCTCTTACTCACTTAAATGTTTCCTTTTTCGTTCCTTTTCGGTTGTCTATGTACACAGCGAACAAGCTACATTCAGATTGTCTCCATTAAATCATGGTTGAATTTTTATGTTATAAAATTTAATTCCATCTTCAAATTGTTGTTACAAACTCAATTAATTAAAGACAATAAATATGTTGACTAAAATGAAAGTATATCAAGTAACGAGAAGAGGATTAATGTGGGTTTAAGTAATAACACAATTTCACAAGCCCAAGTGATCTACGAAGCCCATGTCTATAGTAGCAGAAGAATCTCGATAAACATGAGCGTCTTCTCCAACACACCAAAACAGAGAGAGCGGGAGCAGAGATTGTATTACACAATCAATACAATTCACTGTTGTCGTTGTAGAGTGATTAGATTATTGACAGATATGATTAGATCATTTTGTATGAGAATACTCTAGAATCCCTTCTCATTGTATAAATAGAGAATCTCATGTAATTGTGAAAGGGTTAATGAAAACCTGTAATATTCAGATCTAAAAACTTCTTCTCTTTGTTCACATGGTATCAGAGCTCTCATAAACCCTAATCGGTGCTGTCATGGCTGAGGCTCAAGATCCTTTCCCTTTCCCGTCTAATCTTCATGTTACCAGTTCAGTTACAATTAAGCTTAATGATTCCAATTATCTACTCTGGAAAACCCAATTCGAATCTCTTCTCCGTAGCCAGAAGCTTCTTGGCTTTGTTACCGGTCAAACTCCACCTCCGCCGGCCACTGTTCTCATCACAGTCAACAATGAGCAAGTCCACCAACCTAATCCGGTTTTTGAAGCTTGGCAATGTACTGATCAACTTATTCTCTCATGGCTGTTTGGTACTCTAACAGAGGAAGTCTTGGGTTATGTTCATGCTTTATCAACCTCTCACGAGGTCTGGATGGCTCTTGCTGACAATTTCAATAAGAGTTCTGTTGCTAGAGAGTTTGATTTGCGTAGACGTCTACAGCAACTCTCTATTAAAGGTTCAAACTTTCTCACTTACAATCGAGAGTTTCGTTCGATCTGTGACCAATTGAGCTCCATTGGAAAGCCAGTTGATGAGTCGATGAAGATTTTTACTTTTCTGAACGGTTTGGGTCGTGAGTATGATCCGATCTCCACTGTCATCCAGAGTTCTATGTCTCGTTTCCCACCACCGACGTTCAATGATGTCGTCTCTGATGTCTCTGGTTTTGATCACCGGCTTCAATCTTATGATGTTTCAACGGACGTGTCGCCGCATATGGCTTTTCAAACACAACGCTTTGGACCTTCTCAACGAGGTCGTGGTGGTTCTTACTCTCGGTTTGGAAACAGTCGTGGTCGTGGTAGTGGTTTTTCAACCCGGGGTCGAGGTTTCACGCAGCAGGTCAATCAATCTGGAACACAATCTAATGAACTACCTGTGTGTCAGATTTGTGGTCGAAAAGGACATGTTGCACTTAGATGTTGGAACCGCTTTGATGTCTCCTATCAGAGTCAAGATGTACCACAAGCTCTAGCTGCTATCCATACGTCTGATAATTCAGGAAGAGAATGGTTTCCTGATTCTGGTGCCTCTGCTCATATTACTTCAACAACAACTCAACTCAAAGATGCAGAGCCTTATTCTGGTTCTGAAACAGTAATGGTTGCACATGGTGCATATCTTCCCATTACTCATGTTGGTTCCACTGTCCTTAACACTACCACAGGTAGTATACCTCTCAATGACGTTCTTGTGTGTCCTACAATGCAAAAGTCTTTATTGTCTGTCTCCAAATTATGTGAAGATTATCCTTGTGGGGTTTTCTTTGATGCTAATATTGTGTATGTTATCGATTTACAATCTCAGAAGGTGGTGACAAAAGGACCACGTCGTGATGGTCTTTATGTGTTGGAGAGTCCGGAGTTTGTAGCTTTTTACTCAAATCGGCAGTGTGCAGCTAGTGATATGGTGTGGCACAGACGTCTTGGACATGCAAACTTTCAGATTCTTCAACTTCTCCAAGGAAGCAAGGCGATCTCAGTTAATAAAAGTATGACTGTTTCTGTTTGTGAACATTGTCAAATGGGAAAGAGTACTCAACTTCCTTTCTCATCATCAGAACCGAGTGTTTTGGAACCCCATGCTCGTATCCACTGTGATCTTTGGGGTCCATCTCCAGTTGTCTCGGTTCAAGGTTTTAAATATTATGTGGTTTTTGTGGATAATTACTCACGGTATTCATGGCTGTTTCCTCTTAAAATGAAGTCTGATTTTGTGGATGTGTTTATTGCCTTTCAAAAACAAGTTGAAAACCAGTTTGGAAAAAAAATAAAGACATTTCAGAGTGATGGTGGAGGAGAGTTTGTTAATACTCGGTTTCGAAATCATCTTCAACAGCATGGCATCACACATCTCTTATCATGCCCGGCCACTCCTCAGCAGAATGGGATTTCTGAAAGGAAACATCGTCATCTAACGGAGCTGAGTCTTTCTATGTTATACACAAGCAAGACCCCTTTGAAGTTCTGGGTGGAAGCGTATTACTCTGCGAATTACATCAGTAATTTGCTTCCCTCTCCTTCTTTGAATAACAAAAGTCCACATGAGCTTATTTTTAACAAAGTCCCTTCTTATATCTCCGGGTTTTTGGATCGGCATGTTATCCCTGCCTTCGATCTTATGGTCAACACAAATTTGAGCCCCGGTCACTTCAATGTGTTTTCCTGGGATATCATCCTCAATATAAAGGATATCGATGTTTATATCCTCCCACAGGTCGTGTTTATATTAGCCGCCATGTGATCTTCGACGAGTTGTGTTTTCCCTTTAGTGACAGATACAAGGAATTCACCACTCGTCATACAACAGGGTTGTTACATGCATGGCAATCGACAGAATCTTCTGTCTCTCTCCCATGTGAACTCCCAACGATTCCACGACAAGTTGTAGAATACCCTCAACAAGAACATAACTCGACTCCTCCCAGTCCTAATCACGAGAATGACTCTCCAATTCCCTCGGTTTCTGAGTCTCCTCAAGAATCACCGGAAGTGATTCGTGCAGCTCACGATGAGCCTATGTTGAGACCAGTGCATACAGAGGCTTCTGCTCCCACTGCTCGCACACATCCTATGACTACGCGGTCCCGAGCAGGAATTCGTAAGCTTAATCCCCGGTATGCTCTTGCTGCGAGCAAAACAATTCCATCCTTGCCAAAATCTGTTGCTGAAGCCCTGAATCATCCTGGCTGGCGTCAGGCAATGCTTGAAGAACTGGAAACCATATATCAAAGTCATACTTGGGATCTCGTTGAAGCTACAGAAGCGATGAATATTTTAGGAAGTCGTTGGGTGTTCACAGTAAAACTAAAAGCTGATGGTTCTCTGGATCGACTTCGAGCACGTCTTGTGGCCAAGGGCTTTGATCAGGAAGAAGGTGTTGATTTCACAGAAACATACAGTCCTATAGTTCGTACATCTACTATACGTGTTGTTCTATCCGTGGCTGCTGCAAAAGGATGGGACATTACTCAACTTGATGTGAAAAATGCGTTCCTTCATGGTGACCTGAATGAAGAAGTTTTCATGCTACAACCGCCTGGCTTTGAAGATATTACTAAGCCAAATCATGTTTGCTCTCTTAAGAAGGCAATTTATGGTCTCAAACAAGCTCCTCGTGCTTGGTTTGAGAAATTTAGTAATTTCTTACTTGAGTTTGGATTTATTTGCAGTAAAGCAGATCCATCTCTATTCATCTATCATCACAATGGTGATACGATGGTATTGTTGCTCTATGTGGATGATATTTTGCTGACTGGCTCTAATCCGGCTCTGTTTCGATCTCTCATCTCTAATCTCAGCAGTCAGTTTGCCATGAAAGACTTAGGGGATCTTCATTACTTCTTGGGGATTCAAGTTCACAACTACTCCCATGGTCTGTTTCTTTTACAAGAAAACTATATTGAAGAGATACTTCAGCTTGCAAACATGTCTATGTGTAATCCTACACACACGCCATTGCCTCTGCGTCTTGATCAGACCTTTAAGGACACCAAACCGTTTCCCGAGCCTTCTTATTTCCGGAGTCTTGCAGGAAAACTCCAGTATCTCACAATCACCAGGCCAGACATTCAATTTGCTGTCAATTTTATCTGCCAGCGGATGCATTCGCCGACAGAATCTGATTTCACTTTGTTAAAGCGTGTTCTTCGCTATCTTCGTGGAACCTCTGCAATGGGATTACACATCTCCAAAACCAGTGACTTGTCTCTCCTCTCATACAGCGATAGTGATTGGGCAGGCTGTAAGGATACCAGACGTTCAACCACTGGTTTCTGTGTGCTTCTCGGTTCCAATGTGATCTCATGGTCTGCAAAGCGGCAGCCTACAGTTTCTCGATCATCAACAGAAGCTGAATACAGAGCTCTGGCTACGACTGCTTCAGAGTTAGCTTGGATCTCGGCTGTTCTCTGTGATCTTCGAGTTCCACAACATCAACCTGCTGTTCTAAGGTGTGACAACCTATCTGCTGTTCATCTCTCAGCCAATCCAGTTCTACATAATCGGTCTAAACACATTGATGTTGACTATCATTACGTGCGTGAACGTGTTGCTCTTGGTCTCCTAGAGATTCAATATATCTCTGCAGCTTATCAACTTGCTGACATTTTCACCAAGTCTCTTCCCCGACGTGTGTTCCAAGATCTTCGAAGCAAACTAAATGTTGGTGTTTCACCCACCTTTAGTTTGAGGGGGGATGAAAGTATATCAAGTAACGAGAAGAGGATTAATGTGGGCTTAAGTAATAACACAATTTCACAAAGCCCAAGTGATCTACGAAGCCCATGTCTACAGCAGCAGAAGGATCTCGATAAACATGAGAGTCTTCTCCAACACACCAAAACAGAGAGAGCGGGAGCAGAGATTGTATTACACAATCAATACAATTCACTGTTGTCGTTGTAGAGTGATTAGATTATTGACAAATGTCATTAGATCATTTTATATGAGAATACTCTAGAATCCCTTCTCATTGTATAAATAGAGAATCTCATGTAACTGTGAAAGGGTTAATGAAAACCTGTAATATTTAGATCTAAAAACTTCTTCTCTTTGTTCACATAAAAGTCAAAAATTATTGTGACAAAAATATAAAAATTAGTCTTAATTGCCAACCATGAAATACCAGCTTTGTTATAATTTCTTCACTTTATATACTAAATAATTTCACCTCAAATTTCTAATATAAGATATTTCATAAATATTACATTTTATACTATATAATTCTACTTATACCTCTATTTCTCATTCAAGTTCCAACAATATTTGCATGTAGATGTAGGTAAGATCAGATTTTTTATATACGTATGTTTTTCTTTGATATTTTCCTTAACTTTTGTTTCGTTTCTGTATATTCGTATTTTCCTTCACTCGTTGCCGTTACTTATGTACTACACAACTTTTGTTGTTTCCATTTCCTTTTAAACATATATTTTAGTTAATTTGTAAATGAAAAATTCATTAAAAATACCTTATTATGTTATAGATTCGTGTATCATATATATTTTTGTTTATTTTTTCACTTTCAACTCGTTGCTATAGAAAGAAAAGTATCTCTATATCTGACTTGTTCGCATTCATTAGCGAAATATTGTTTTCATAACGTCTATATATATATATGTAGGAATGTCTAGATCTGTTCTCAACATCTTCCAACCAAAAAAAATTGTCGAATTTGTTTTCTCACTCAATTAAGCATAATCTTTTGGTATCATCATCATGGGTCTGCGTTTGATAGGTTTTCTCTTATTGTTTTTCGTCGTAGAAGCGAGCACAACCAGTGGTACATATATCAAACTTGTAATTACTTAACTTTTATTTATTTATTTTTATTGATCACACATTCTGATTTATTTGGTTTTTTTTGTTTGAACCATAAGCTCGGACGAACATAACAATTCCAGCACTAATAGTATTTGGAGACTCAATCATGGATACTGGAAACAATAATGACATCCCCACTCTTCTTAAGTCCAACTTTCCTCCTTATGGTCGAGATTTTCCTGATGGTGTTCCTACCGGTAGATTTTCAGATGGGAAAGTTCCATCAGATATCATTGGTAACTATCAAAACGCTTAATTAGTCGTTTGTTTTCTAATTGCTCAAATCTGTATAGTCCTTCTCTAATGTACATATATATGCACTATACTGTCTGATAATAATTGTAAAAATATCGCAGCGGATAAATTAGGAATAGCAAAGACACTACCACCATATTTGGGTTCAAATCTGCAACCAAATGATCTTCTAAAAGGTGTTATATTTGCCTCTGGAGGTTCCGGTTATGATCGATTAACATCTACATTACTGGTATAGAAGATTTACATAGTTATATTCTTTTCATTGTTATTATAATTTTTCTAACTAACTTTTTCGGCCTTTCAATTTTTTTTTTTGTTTCTCCTCAGTCTGTAGTATCAATGTCAGACCAATTAAAATACTTTCAAGAATATTTATCGAAAATTAAGCAACACTTTGGAGAAGAAAAAGTTAAGTTTATATTGGAGAACAGTGTTTTTCTAGTGGTCTCTAGCAGTAATGATCTTGCCGAGACTTATTTGGTTCGATCAATCGAATTTGATCGTAACTCATATGCCGAATATCTAGCTGAGTTGGCTTCAAAATTCATCAAAGTAAGGTTTTTTTCTTCTGTATATACCCTACCAAAATGTTTAATTATTAAAGTATTCAAAAATGATACTTTGAAATATTTTTACATTTCAGGAATTATCTGGACTCGGGGCTAAGAAAATTGGAGTGTTTAGCGGAGTACCAGTTGGATGCTTACCTTTTCAAAGAACACTTTTTGGTGGTCTAAGAAGAGAATGTTTTGAAGATTTGAACAACATGGCACTTCATTTCAACTCAAAGCTATCATCTAATTTGGATGCTCTGAAAAAGGAATTGCCCGGCAAACTAATATTCATCGACGTTTACGAAACTCTTTTGGACATCATAAAAACCCCTGAGAATTACGGTAATTATAATATGAACTAATAACATTTTTTATTTTTCTTACGTAATTCAATGTTAAGAATTGTAAATATATGTGTGTGTGTTTGTATTTTTGTACGTAGGATTTGAAGTAGCAGATAAAGGATGTTGTGGTACAGGAGTAATTGAGTTGGCTGTATTGTGCAACCAACTTACTCCTTTTACATGCTCGGATCCATCGACTCATGTCTTCTTTGACTCCTATCATCCGAGTGAAAAAGCATATCATATTCTCACTGATAAAGCGATGGATAAATACCTTAAGTACCTGAGTAATTGAATATATGTTTCTTCAAGTGGTATTTGTCTAAAGAATATAAATACTTCAATTTGTTTTAAAACAGTTTAGTTGTAAGGATGTATTTCATCAAAGTGGTTTTATTTGTTTTACGATTACAATTATTCTGTTTGGCTTAGCAAAACTATTGCGTATCGTTGCGCTGTCATGTAAACCAAGATTTGGGCAAAGTACCAACAATAAAAGCTTTCGAGAGAACTTGACTTTGTTTGGATGCTTGTCCTCATAAAATATTATTTTTTTGTTGATATTACAAGAGAAACAAATCGCTACAGAGTAGCAGATCTTGCCCTATATTAAAATGTTGATTACCATGCTTTACATAAAATGTTATAAAACTATTACATGCATGGTATACAAATTGTTTAATTCAAAGAAATATAAAAATGTCAATGGAGAAGTTTGCGTATCTACTTTAACAAAAAAAAAAGAATTATACAATCATAACCTTATCTTTGCTAAGTTTTTTAAATTAGCAGATCTTGCCCTATATTAAAATGTTGATAGTTCACCATACTTTAACAAAAAACAAAAAGTTTGTGTATCTAACCAAGATACAATCATAACCTTATCTTTGCTAAGTTTTTAAATTATCAACAATCTTATTGTTATCGTGCACCGAAAGTGGAAATAATCAAGGTAAACAGTAATTACAACACCAAATCAGAATTCTGATGGAGAATCACGTGTTTGATGTGAAGAATTAGTGACAGCACATAGGGTTAAATTATAAAATAAACAAGAAGAGTTGGTGAAACTGATGATTTTCCCACGATACAGTTAACTTAAAAACCAAAAGTAATTATTTTGACCCCAACAAAAAAAAACCAAAAGTAACTTGAGAATTTCCAAGAGCTAATCGTTACAGCTTACAACCTTATTCTCACGTTGATTTGTCGCTACCAGGTGGCAACATTAAAGTTGATAAAGCATGTAGATGAACATATGTGATATGTTCACAGTGTAAAGTTTAGTTAAAATAATTTATCATCTATGTACTTTGTAAGTATTGATTATCTTAATTGTCTTCTATAGTTCTACCCACGTAAACCAATATTTTCAAAAGAAAAAGATTCTCACTTTTACGAGCTATGAAATCTGAGCTCTCATACAGTATCAGGAGAATGTATGTGGTCGATACGACAATAAGCACGTTGACAAAAAAAAATACTATGTAATAGGGTCCACTATAAATAATAGAAAGAGGCCTATTTAAATTGTTAAGCGAAAGTTCGTTATTTGATCGAATAATGTTAATGGGCTCAAGAAAATTAGAATGAGAGGCCTTCTCATATATAGGCCCATTTACGTTGGTAATATTTGTCAAAACTCCCACATCGCTTAAGGAAAGAGAAGAATGTTGGTTTATATATGGTTGGAGTGACATAGATGATTGTCCCTTCGGGGACATCCGATAAAATTGGAACAATACAGAGAAGATTAGCATGGCCCCATCCCAAGGATGACACGCACAAATCGAGAAATGGTCCTCGAGAAATGGTCCAAATTGTTTTTGCCAAAATCTTCTGAGATTTCTTGTTCTGGGTTTTGTTCTTCATTTTCTGGAACTATAACTTGTATCAAGTGGCTTCGTTGCCTTCAAGATTGACATTATTATAGACAAGTCTAAATTGAGTTATAATGTAGGATAGGTTGTAGAAAACAGGTTATCAAGAATGAGAAGTCAAATTTGTTCGACTCTGATTTGGCCAGAGTCAGCATTTAGTTGATGGTGATCTCAAATATGAACCTGGAATAAAATATTAACATTTTGAATCATGTTGAATTATCATACGCCTACTTTGAACATAGTGTTCTTTCACACATCGTAGAAGTATATGTAAACTACTTTTGTCAAGTTCTTGTAAGAGTGAAAGTTGTTGTTTTTTAATGTTTTGTTCTCTCTATGATAATCTTGATGCAGGGAACGATTAATATAACATCGAGTTATGATAGTAGAACAAAATAGTATGAACCATTCATTGGCAGCCATGCACAGAGGAGACCTTTGGAGACCATTCATAAGCTACAGGTTTGAGTTCTACTTCAAGCGATGGAACTTCATTTCTGTTTCTGAATCTTGAATCTTTTTCTTTTCTGATATACGTATAAATAGACATGCATGATGTACGACGAGTTTCTTTCATGTACATATGTGTGAAGAAACTCTTTTTTCCCGTCTGTAAATTTTGTATAGTACTTCGTTACCCACAAGGCCACAAGTTAGTGGTTTCTAATTGAGTGATTGCGAATATTGACTTGACTCACAGTTGTAGTTTAAAGACTACAGTTGTAGTTTCTACAAATAATGAATACAGTATAAACAATCTAAAACGTATCGAGCGAGCATCATGCAGAAGAAGACAAGTGTATTAATTTTATATGTTTAGTGTGTCAGAGACACTTGCGGTTGGTAGGCTCAATGAAGAGCAACGTTGCAAAATATAGTATAAGTGGGTCCACTACATTGGTTGGATGATCCTTAATTAAGATTCCTTTTTTTGTTTGTTCAAATTTGACGACCCGAAGAAACTATTGGACTCCGAATGAAAAATTTTTAGAGTAGGTAGTTGGCTAGAAAATAGTATTCTCTATATATATATATATATATACAGTAGAAACTCTATAAATTAATAATGTTGGGATTTTGATATTTTATTAATTTATAGAGTTATTAATATATAAGTTTTGACTAAAAAAAAAATTTCAAAAAATGAAAATTAATACTTATAATCTTTTAATTTTCACACAAATTAAATAAGAACTTTCAGTTATAATATATTTTCTTAAAGTATTTGATATTATTGTTCTAAATTCAATTTTTCTTTTCATTTCCATATATGTTTGGTGTGTGAGAGATCATATTTTAGTAGTTAAATATTTTAATGATATATATATATATAATTTTTTTATATGATGATTATTAATTTATGATATTATTGGGACCATATTTTACATAGGAGTTTCAAAAACATTATTATCTTATTATCTTATCGAATTATGTCATATTTTACACTGGCCCAACTCAGGACCGGAAGATTTTATTAATTTATCGTGTTTATTAATTTATCGAGTATTAATTTATAGAGTTTTTACTTGTAGTTAGATAAAGGTTCCTCTGAATAAATGACAAAAACAAGATTGAGAATTGTCTCTACGACCTTTCAAAATTGTTATTATCGAAATTAATTATTATTTTATATTACTCGAGTCTTATAAGAGTGGCTTTGACTTGTCTAAGTCTTCGAGTTTAATTCTTCGATCAAAAGGTAATGTAATTCATTGAACTAATCGTTACTTGGTTAGCAAGTATGGAATGAGAAACTAGATTATTTTGCAAAGATGATACGAAAACGTGCCACACATTCACGATTATCATATCATTGCAACTTTGGTTCACATGTTTGGGATAGTTTTTTTGTTTTCGTTTAGTTCTGTACTTTGAGTCTTTCGACACCCAACTTCACGACCCATTTTCTCGTCCAACCCTAAGACCTAAACTACTACCTAAACTACCTATCCCAAGGTTCACATGTTTGGTTCCAAAACAATCACGACTGAAATTTCTTTATAAGTCTTCCAACTGTTATCTTTTTCATAAAGAACAAAAAAAAGAAGGACAAAAGCTGTCCCAGCGTGTGACTTGCTGCGTTTTAACGTCTTGTGATGTGAGTCGAATTCGATGACTCCATCAATCTGTCAATAAAATGTTATTATTGACTAAAAACAGAGAATACAAATCATGCCACAAATCACACCGGTGAAGGTTCAGATCTTCAAAGTTCAAACAACGATTAAGGGGTTTCAGTTTTTATAATATCACAGATGATTGATTATCATTCCAGATTGATGTTAGATCCGAGATAGCACATTTAAGAGCGAGCTATCAAAGATGTGAGTTTAAGAAATTGGAAGGCTAAATTCAACTCGAAGAATATCAAGAAATTACAAAGAGGTTATCTCGCTAACAAGCCTAGCGAGATAATGATGATGAACAAGAGGGGAGAGTAAAAGTGGGTGCAAAAGCCTAGTGATTCTAGATGATTTCTCGATGATTTCGGATGCCTCTCCCAATGGGGGGTCTTCAATATATATAGTGTTGATAAGTCGGCCGAATGGTGAATATTCTTCTTCAGGCGAGATGGAAAACTTCTTCTTTTGCGATATAGAAACTTTCCTTTCATCCTCGATTTCCTTCCAATTATTGGGTTGATATGAGAGTTTGTTTACATTTCCTCATGGATTGTGCCTTCTTCCTCAAGTTCTGCTTTCTTCTCGAGGGGTTCTAGGCCTAAGATTGGATTGGGCTTTGCAACTTTACTAATGATGACGGTCTAGATATCTTCGAGACGAATAGCGAGAAGCGTTTCCAGCCCCACGGTGGGCGCCAATTGTTAGATCCAAGATAGCACACTTAAGAGCGGGCTATCAAAGATGTGAGTTTAGGAAACTGGAAGGCTAAATTCAACTCGAAGAATATCAAGAAATTACAAAGAGGTTATCTCGCTAACAAGCCTAGCGAGATAATGATGATGACCAAGAGGGGAGAGTAAAAGTGGGTGCAAAAGTCTAGTGATTCTAGATGATTTCTCGATGATTTTGGATGCCTCTCCCAATGGAGGGGTCTTCAATATATATAGTGTTGATAAGTCGGCCGAATGGTGAATATTCTTCTTCAGGCAAGATGGAAAATTTCTTCTTTTGCGATATAGAAACTTTCCTTTCATCCTCGATTTCCTTCCAATTATTGGGTTGATATGAGGGTTTGTTTACATTTCCTCATGGATTGTGCCTTCTTCCTCAAGTCCTGCTTTCTTCTCAAGGGGTTCTAAGCCTAAGATTGGATTGGGTTTTGCGACTTTACTAATGATGACGGGCTCAAGGAAATGTGCTAATTTCCCCTCTAACAATTGATTTATTTTGTAGATATCGTTTTTATCTTATCTTTTGTTATACGAAAGAAGATATTAGCACAAATCAGTAAAGTACAGAGAGTTGTCCTATCTATATTCGTATGGAGCTTTTTTAGGGACCTATCAGCCTTTAGACAAAAAATTATAATCATTATCATCTACCATTTTATTGTAATAATGTTCTCATTGGGTGTGAATGCTAAATAAATAAATTTAGAAATTCTGTTATTTATTTCTTTAATTGCTAGAGAGGAAAACACTATTAGAAGTCAATCTCAAAGCTTCCTTATAAAATAATTTTTGATTCCCTTGCAATAACACACAAAACTATTTTTTGGTCACAAAAAAACACACACACTTTCTAGTTCTCGGTTCATACCAATTACCAAATCATCATAGACTACTTATATTGACAAATGTCGACTGAACGAAATGCAAACATTCATTTAAAAAAAAACTTTACAACATAGTTAAGAAAAATCTAAAATAAATAAAAGAAACCATCCTTTTATAGTATTCTTTTCTTCTTTATAATCAAAACATCTGCAACATCCCTTTAACAAAAAAAAAATTATATCTCTCTACAGCATCACTGAATTATTTTGATGCTCAGCTGTCAGCAAATCGCTGGCCTCCTTAATTTTCTTTTCTCTATGGCCCACTTTGTTTATCATGCAAGTAGCACATTTTAAAAATCCCATATATTAATTAAATAATAGCTACTACTAGTAATATAAAACGCAAAAAAATAATAATAAAAAATTTAGATAATCTTATTTTTAATAATGTTGACTTACTCATCATCCCTTTCTCTCTCTCCATTCTCAAATGTCTTCGTGAGTCTCTCTTAACAATTCGTCACATTAAACAACCCCTTTCTCTTCACTCTCATCGCATCTCCTCACACATCATCAAATTTTTAACAATTCGCAAGAAAAATAAAAACTCAGTTTTTATTCTCAGTCGGTTTTGATTCAGTTTCCGATTCAGATCTCCCTAAACCCTAATGTTAAAATGTCCTTCACTCGATTTATCTTCTTCCCTTACGTCCTCGTCTCTCTCATCCTTTCCGGCTTCGCATCCTCTCAAACGTTACCCAAAGAAGAAGGTATCAATATATATAGAAATTTATGTTTGTGTGCGACTGTACGTAGATGTTTGAGTCATTGTATCATTTGTGCTCTTTGTAATTTGATTTGATTTTTTTCGCAGTGGATGCTTTAAGAGCGGTAGCGACGGTGCTGAAGAAGAGCGATTGGGATTTCAATGTGGATCCATGCGGCCCCAATTCAACGGACGGACGATGGAGAGATCCTGCCGCCGACAAGGACTTCGCATACGCCGTTACTTGTAACTGCTCCTCCGTTTGCCACGTCACCAGCATGTGCGTTCTTCTAACTTTAAACTCTTCTTCCCCTTTTTTTATTTTTCTGTTTCTTTTTTAGAAAATAATCTTTATAAAAATCCATGACTTCATAATTCGCAACTCATAAATATGGACATAAATTTTTTTAGTTTAGTACTTATTCAAAATAATTAAGTACTTATTGTCGACAACAAAAACAAGTTAAGTACTTATTCAAAATAATTAGCATCGAGGAAATTCAAAATGGTCTATGATGAATTCTAAAGAAAAGACTTGTTCTTTATTTTTAAAGAAAAATTGGACTTGTTCTCATTTACCGAAGCCTATTAGTCTATTTACCATTAAAGTATATACTAATAAATGTAAAAACAGATTTGTTTTCACTCGTTTTCATTAATAAAGTAGGTTTAGTTGCATGAATGTAGACAATCTACATATGACGCTGTCGCTGTTGACCTTTTTGACGCGTCCGTGAATTTTTCACCTTTTTATATCTTTCGTGCTGAAGGCTATTGGGCCGAAAAACGTAATGGGCCTATATTTTTGCAAACCGTAACTGTTTTTCTTGTTTTCCCTCGTAATCTTGAGACAGAGTTCTAAAGGCACAAAACCTACAAGGATCTCTCCCTAAAGAGTTGGTGGGACTTCCTTTTCTGCAAGAGATGTAAGACACTGAACTATTCATATTACGACAATATCTAGTTTCTTTGATTAACTAACTTAAACTGTCAACACTCTTCTTGCACTGTGCAGTGATTTGAGTAGAAACTATCTCAACGGTACCATTCCTCCCGAATGGGCGGCCTTGCCACTTGTCAGCATGTATGTATATGATCATATACACTCTTACACGTATATATAATATCTCTGTGTATAGATTGATTGAGTTAAGTTTGTTGGATGATGAAAATGAAGCTCACTGCTTGGAAACCGGATCAGTGGTCCAATCCCAAAAGAGATTGGAAACATTACAACACTTAAGAGCTTGTGAGTTACACTTGTTACAACTCTCTCTCTCTCTCTCTTTCAAAAAGAGTTGTTCATATTATTCATACTCAAAGGAATTATATCTGATTGTTTGTTTTTTAGTGTCTTGGAATTCAACCAGATTTCAGGGAAATTACCTCCAGAGCTTGGGAATCTAAAGAGCATCGAAAGACTGTAATAAAAATTCTTTCAATATGTTCCTCTTTTTTTTTTTTTTTTTGCCTTAAAGAAGATTGATTGGTGTGTTACAATGTGTTGAGACTCTGTTATCTCTTTTGTAGCTTTGTTAGCTCCAACAACTTGAGTGGAGAAATCCCAACCACATTCTCCAAACTTACTTCTTTGACTGATGTGTAAGTATTATTTTGTCCTCTGCTTTTTCTTCCATCCCATATTGTGTTTTGTGTTTTAACCTTTTGTTAATCTTGATCTATAGCCGTATAAGTGACAACCAGTTCACCGGTACAATACCAGATTTCATCCAGAACTGGACAGCACTTGAGAAACTGTAAGCAATATTTTCATCGTTTTTTTTTTTTCTTTTTCAAATCGGTATGTAATTAGTTACTTATAAAGGAGTGGAATGTTGCAAAATCAGGGTTATTCAAGCAAGTGGTTTGTCCGGACCGATTCCTAGTGCCATTGCTCCTCTTAACAAGTTAATAGACTTGTAAGTACACCAACTTTTCCTGTGGAATCTTTTGTCATCAAATGATACTTATTGTTTGTTTAAATTTTTTGTAGGAGAATCAGTGACTTGACCGGGCCAGGATCTACATTCCCGCCACTACAGAAAATGACGTCGATGAAGATATTGTGAGAGTTTGAGCCTAAGACTTAATGGTGTTCTTCTCCGCCTTCTGTTAGCTTGACTTCTGTTTCCACTTGTTTTGTTCGTTTGCAGGATTCTTAGGAACTGCAATCTTACAGGAGAATTACCTGCATATATTGGAAGGATTGTAGCTACAGCGTTTAAACTCTTGTTAGTTTCACTCTTTAATTGTTCTTCGTTTTCAAACGTTTTCTTTAGATGAAAAAGAATTAAAGCTGACATTGTGAGACTCGTTGTGCAGTGATGTAAGCTTTAACAAACTAAGTGGACCAATCCCGGAAACATATAGCTCTCTTTACAATGTAGATAACATGTATGATCCTCCTCTCTTCTCTTCTCTGCTCTTCTTTATTTTTCTTCTTTGTTAAAGATTCTTGTGTATGAAAGTAAAATGCTTTCCTGGATTTTCCAGATATTTTACAAATAACATGTTAAACGGGGAAGTACCAAGTTGGATGGTAGACAAAGGAGACAACATGTGAGTTTTTTCTTCATCGATTCTCTTTAGAATAACCAACGTTTTCTTGACCATCTTATCTTATATTTGCAGTGACATTACTTACAATAACTTCTCCAAAGATCCAAAAACCGCAGGATGTGAGAATAAAGCCGTGTAAGAAGAGCAACAAAACGTTTGAACTTCTCATGCAACGCTAAGAAATCTTACAGTTTCTTGATTCTTTTTTATTTGCAGGAAAATGTTTTCAAGCACAAGCCCTTTGGTATCAAATAACTAGTAAGTCTTTTCTCTTCTCACCAAATTTTCAAAATCTTCTTCGCTCTAACACTTGCTAGAATCTTGATATTGCGTTATTTTTTGCTACAGCACAAACGTTTCGTGCCTGAGTAACTATCGCTGTTCTAAACGTAAGTCTTTGAAGCTATATATTTACATACAAAACCATGTTGCTTAATATCTAGCAACACATCTCATGTGTCTTTTGTGTTTTTCTCAGCTTTATGGGGGCTTCATATAAACTGTGGTGGTAATGAGATTACAGTCAATGGGACTAAGTATGAGGCTGATACATCGGACAGACCGTTCTATGATAAAGGAAACGGATGGGTTTCAAGCAACACCGGGATCTTCATGGATGATGATCGGACTCCAGAAGAAAACACATGGGGAAATTCATCAGAGCTTAACATAGCAGATCCTAGGCTTTATACACGTGCTCGTCTCTCTGCCATCTCCCTCACTTACTACGCCTTTTGTCTTGGTAAAGGAAACTACACGGTTAATCTTCATTTCGCTGAGATCATGTTCACTGGCAACAACACTTTTAGCAGTATGGGAAGAAGATTCTTTGACATATACGTTCAGGTTAAACTTAAAAGATCTCCAAGAAAATGTTTGAAAGATTTGTGTTAATGCTTTTAAATAAACTGGCTATTGGTGTTAATGCGCAGGGTAAACTTGTGGTTAAGGATTTCAACATTGCAGAGGAGGCAAAAGGTATTGGAAGAGCTGTGGTTAAGAGCTTTCCGGTCACGATTACAGATGGGAAGTTGGAGATAAGATTGTTTTGGGCTGGGAAAGGAACTACAGCTCTTCCTGTTAGAGGTGTATATGGTTCTCTCATATCGGCTGTAGCGGTTGATCCAAGAGGTGTATATTCTTCTCTCACATCAAACTATCTCAAGAGACTGTATCAGTCTATGTTTTGAGATGATGTTGACTTTATCTCACATGATCTTGCTATATACAGATTTCATTCCACCGAAGGAAGATGAAACTGGAACTGGAATCCCTGTTGGTGCAGTGGTTGGTATTGTAGTGGCTTCAACGGTGTTTCTTGTGCTTTTGATCGGCGCTATTTTGTGGTGGAGAGGTTGCTTAAGACCCAAGAGTCAGATGGAGAAAGGTACTTTTTAAAAATACTTGCTTTTTTTAACAGTTAAGTCTCTGTTTCCTCCTGAACTTGATAATGTTTCTTGACCACAGATTTCAAGAACTTGGATTTCCAGATTAGTTCCTTCTCCTTGAGGCAGATCAAAGTTGCCACAGATAACTTTGATCCTGATAACAAGATCGGAGAAGGCGGCTTTGGTCCTGTACACAAGGTTAGCATCATCATATAACACATAAAATGACATTGTTATGAGAACAAGAACGATGTGTTAATGTCTGTTTTGTCCAACAGGGAACGTTGACTGATGGGACCGTGATCGCGGTGAAGTCGCTATCAGCGAAATCAAAACAAGGGAACCGAGAGTTCTTGAACGAGATTGCTATGATCTCAGCTCTGCAACATCCGCATTTGGTTAAACTATATGGATGCTGTGTCGAAGGTGATCAGCTCTTGCTAGTCTACGAGTACTTGGAGAACAACAGTCTCGCTAGAGCACTCTTCGGTCCTCAAGCGACTCAGATCCGATTAGACTGGCCAACGAGGCAGAAGATTTGCGTCGGGATAGCGAGAGGATTAGCTTATCTCCACGAGGAATCAAGACTCAAGATTGTGCACAGAGACATCAAAGCCACTAATGTCTTGCTGGACAAGGAACTAAACCCTAAGATCTCTGACTTCGGTCTTGCTAAGCTTGATGAAGAAGAAAACACACACATCAGCACCAGAGTTGCTGGAACATAGTGAGTCAAATCAACAAATCAATACAATATACGTTTCAGTTCTGTGAGATTCTTTATTAACCTAAACCTAAACCTAAACCTTTCTTGTTGCAGCGGATACATGGCTCCAGAATACGCCATGAGAGGACACTTGACAGATAAAGCAGACGTGTACAGTTTCGGCGTCGTGGCTCTCGAGATCGTTCACGGAAGAAGCAACACGAGCGCACGTTCCAAAGGAGAAACGTTCTACCTTCTCGACTGGGTACACGTTCTAAGGGAGCAGAACAAACTGTCGGAAGTAGTTGATTCGAGGCTAGGAACAGATTACAACAGAGAAGAAGCAATGACGATGATCCAGATCGGTATGCTCTGCACAAGTCAAGTTCCGACGGACAGACCTTCGATGTCGACGGTGGTGAGTATGCTCGAAGGAAGCTCGACGGTGGATGTTGAGAAGCTTCTTGAAGCGTCGTTCAACAGAGGAAACGAGAAGGACGAAGAGAGCGTGAGAGCGATGAAAAGTCATTACGCGATGATTAGTGGAGAGGAGGTAACGACTACGACGAATCAGACAATGTCCAGTAACGGACCGTTCACGTCGTCTTCTACGTCTACTGCTAACGCCGGCGATCTTTACCCTGTTAAGCTTGATTCTGCTTATTGGGACACGAGAGCGTAAAGCATGGGATTATACTCTAAAACAGATTATGGAGTAAGTAATTATGACTCTTTTTTATTTGCACTTTTTGTAAAAAGTTTTTTTTTTTTTTAATTATATTATTTATGACAAGGGAAAGATCCGAAAGACAATTAGAGATTACGTTTCTTTTCTTTATTTTGTTTTTATTATGTAATCAGAAGATTACGTTTCTGTTAGACAAGTATAAACTCTATAAATTAATACTCGATAAATTAATAAATATGATAAATTAATAAATTCTTCTGGTCCTGAGTTGGGCCGGTGTAAAATATGACACAATTCGATAAGATAATAAGATAATAACTTTTTTTAAAACTCCAAAATATGGTCCCAATAATATTATGAATTAATAATTATCATATAAAAACTTAATATATATATACCTAAGATATCTAGTTGCTAAAATATGAATCTCTAATACACAAAACATATATGGAATTTAAACAATATTGCAAGTATGAGAAAATGTATAAAGTAAATATAGAAACTTAAATTAAAAAGTTAAGAATATATACGTATAAAGGAAAGTTCTTATTATTAAAGGTAAAATAGCAAAATCTATAAAATACTCTATCTTATTATATAAAGCTGGATGCGCACGACGTGGTTGCGACACGTAGGATTTTTATAAAATTCAGGATCGCGACATGTGTCACTTTTAAGTTTATGTCCGTTAAGATCGTGACACGTGTCTTAGAAAAAAAGAGAACTTAAAAAAAAAATTCCAGATAAATGTTAATTAAGAAAAAAAACGAAATTTAATTTAATCTATTATATCAAAAAGGAAAAAATAATATTTGCCATATTCAAACAGAAAAAGGTTTCCCATTCATCAAATTTTTTTATTATATAAAGTTGGATGCTTTTAGATAAAAGAATTTTAAAAAAAAAATTAATCTATTACAGTTAAAAGAAATAAAAATATATTTGTCATATCCTAATAGAGAAAGGTTTTCCATTCATCAAATTAATATTATCCAAACAAATAATAAAATCAAAATAATGTAATAAATAAAATCCTATTTGTATAATGTTATGTAATCAAATTAATATTATTCAAACAAATAATAAAATCAAAATAATGTAATAAATAAAATCATATTTGTATAATGAAATAAATAATGTTATGTAAACTAAATTTCATATAACTGAATAGGTTACTTGAATCCCTATAAAAGAGAGTCAAAGTTTCTCAATCATAAATTCATCAAAGCAAATTCATCAGATCCCTTTGATTCTATTTCTCCAATTTAAAAATCATGTTTTTGACAGTTTTGCGATACATATGATTTTTATAACTCACAAAATTGTGACATTTGTTTTAGAAAAAAAAAATTATGAAAGTATGAAGATCGTAACATGTGTCATAGAATAAAAATAATAAAAAAATTAATATGTATAAGACTAAATAAAAATTAGAAAATCAGATAATAAATAATTAAAATGAAAAAATAATAAATCCATTAAAAGTAATAAAAAACAGAAAACAAATAATTTAAATTCTTTTGTTACATCTATTAAGAAAAGGAAAAAATGCATTTCGAAAAGGAAAAATATCAATATATATTATTTATAGGGTAAATTTAACTAATATACACAAATAATCTGACAATTAAGTATTTTGCAAAATAACATGATAATTAGTTTTTTAGCAGAGAGAATATATTCTGTAAACCAAAACTATCCTTTTAATCCTAAGATATTACATAAGTTGCCATTGACTTATCTGATGCCATTAACATATTTAATTATTATAATATCATTAGTTAACGTGATAATAAAATAGTTATCATAATATCATATAAGTTAGCATGATAATCAATATTGTTATCACAATATGTTACATTAAGTTAACATGATAATACGAAAGTTATCTGTTAAATTACTTTCTAAAGGAAAGTTATCACGATATTACATTAGTTAGCATGATAATCAAATAGTTATCATAATATTATACAATTTAGCATGATAATCAATATTGTTATCATAATATCACCAATATCTTGTGATAACTTATTTAATTATCGTGCTAACTAAAATCGTATTATGATAACTATTTAACTTAATTGTTAACAGGCATGTTAGCATATTATTTGGAATTTGCTAACACATTAAAAATATTTTGTAGAGTCAAGGTGTTGTGAGTCTTTGGCCAATGAATAGTGAGTGAACAATATAATAATAAAACTGTCCGTGTCACCCATTTAATTATAGGATTATTGATGTATATTCCTTGCAATTTCCCTTATTTATAATGGTATGAGGCAAAAACAAAATTGAGAAAGAAAAAATATAAATAGAAAACTAACAAAATAATATTCAAGCAATTAACTAAAATTAAAAAATTATAATCGATATTCTAATTTTAAATAGTTTGATTTTCAATTTTGTTAGGTAAAAAAAATTGAAATAAAGATTTCATCAATTAAAATCTCTTGAATGGAATAATAAAAGTTTGATTAATTAATCAGTTGATCAGATTTAGACATGTGTAAGTGTTTATGTATTGGATAAAAATAATATTAAAACAAATTAATTCATTTTGTCATATCATAAATTCAAAAGAAAAATCAATTATAATAAAAATGTAAAAGTATTACCAATTTTATTTTATTTAAATATTTTTTATCGGGTTTTCAATATTATTTTGTTTACGTTTAAAAATGATCAAATTTTGTTTAATATTTTCCATGTTTTTATTATAAAATCTTAAAATATACCCGCGTATACGCGGGCCTTAATCTAGTAAATTAATAAAATATCAAAGTCCCGACATTATTAATTTATAGAGTTTCTACTGTATTTTGAAGGTTACACTGAAAAGTATATGAGCCATATTTTATTTATCTTGAGATCTAGTTATTACTTTATTGTGACTTTTATTTTATGAGTATTATTTTATAGATATTTTATTTACTGTAGTTTTAGAGATGTTGTTTAGGGTTTCGACATTGACACATTTAAAAGCAATCGCCGGACGAAAGCGTCGTACAAAACCCAAATCGGATCAAAGTAAAAACCATGAGCGAACGGGAAGTTGCTTTCTTTGATTTCAAAGAACATGAACCTGGGAATCTGCAGTTGGGAGGGATGGTAGTGAGTTCTGAGACGCTGGATTCCATTAAAGAATTGGCGTATTTTATTCTACCGAACGTTTCCAATGATTTTCGGAAAAACAAACAAGGAGCTACATTCCTTGACCTCTCCGAGCATATCTACAACATGCTCAACGGAAAAATTTGGGTTGGACATGATATTATCAAACGAGACATCCCAAGGTTGCGACGTGAATTTAAGAAAATTGGCAGAGACTTTCCTGAGCCCAAATCTGTAGTTGATACCGTTCTCTTCACCTCGTCCAACACGAGGGTATATGTTTTTTTTCTGTCTTCTCATTTTATTTTTTGAATTGTGACTTTTCTAACAAGTTTGTGATTGTGCAGCTAGCCAAACTTGCGGTATACTGTAGTCTAGGTGAAACAAAACTCGGGAGCTGTTTCGATTGCCGCAAGAATCTTAATTCAATCAAGGAATGTGAAACCATCAAGTCAATAGTTGTAAGTTGTGATATATAAGCATAAGAAAGTTGTGATTTAGCCGAAAATCACTGTTTGATTATTCGTTTTTGCAGAAGAAGAGGAAGAGGAATTGTAGGGAAGGATTACATCCCATGCTTTTTCATCTCATGAAAATAGCAAATGCAACTAACTGTTTTAATAAACTAATGGAAGGTAAGAAATTCATAGATGATGATATTTGAAGCAATTCGCTTTGTTTCCAATACTAGTTTAGAATATAGACTTTGACTACGAGACTTGAGCTGTCTATGCTCGTTAAGTCGCAGTTTTTTTGTTTTATAAATGTCAATATTTCTTTGTGAATGTTAGAATATATATGATTAGAGTTTTTTTCTTCTACTGCATTGAATCTGATTTACAACTTGCTTCTCTTTATGCAGAGAGTGTTGATTAACCTCAACGACGAAACTTTAAGGTTAGCTTTTATTTGTTTTGACTTTTGTGTTTCCATTACCAGCTTTAGATCATGAAATATTATTCTGAAGTTTTTTTTGTCACCATTTGATATGAGCAGCTGAAAAAAAATGGAGTGGAGCACAAAGGCGTTGTACTTGTTACTTTGTTTTGCGTATCTTTATGATAAACTATGTAATGCCTTAACTAGCTATATATGTCTGCTTATCTTTTCTTTTCTCTTTTCTTTCTTGGGAATCATAATTAACTGTTTTAGCTTATCTTTAAGAAACACTATTTAGACATGAAGAAGGTGTTTAAGTTGCTAAGTAAGCAGAAATGTTGGAGGCAGTTATTCACCTTATTCACCTTCCATTCCAATCATCTTTCCGCCTCCACAAGCTTAGGCTTAGATATCTCTAAATCACAATATGATCAAAGATTGACAATGAGCACGAAACCATGAGTCTTGAAGAGAAGAGCATGAAGCTGAGTAAACATGCGAGCTGAGTCCAGCTCAAATGGAAGCCAACATCAAACATCCATGTTCAACCAACATTCGGAGATCAAAATCAACTCATCTAGAGTTCACCACAAAGAAGAATCAGCCAAGAAAGATTTTATATGACAAAGATATTGAGAATACAATTTGTATCTTCAATGAAGCCGATGGAGACATACAATCACTCATTGAATCACTCCGCCCAAACTAAAGATGAACGAAGCAACAAATCCATTTTTTATGGATTTTCAATTCATCAAACTCAGACGGTGAACTGGATTCATGACCAAATCCAATTTGTAAAATTAATAACTCTGTCCAAATTGAATTTGGTCATGAATTCAGTTCGTCATGTGAGTCTGATAAGTTGGAAATCCAAAACAATTATATTTGTTGCTTGGTTCGTCTTGGTTTGGACGGAGGGATTCGATGAGTGATAGTATGTCTCCATCGTCTTCATTGAAGATCTGACAAATTATATCTTCAATATCTTTGTCATATAGAATTATTTTCGGCTGATTCTTCTCTGTGGTGAACCCTAGATGAGTTGAATGTGATCTCCGAGTGTTGATTGACCATGTATGTTGGATATTGATCTCCATTTGAGTTACTCAGCTTGCATGTCTCCTTTAGCTCTCATCAAGCTTTTTTCTTCAAAACTCGTAATTATGTGCTTATTGTTTGATGATGACTTAATATCCTCATCAATTGGTGTGATTCCCCCTGCTTTGTGATTCATACTCTCTTTTTTATTGATTTATCAGATTTGTGAGCTCCAAATTATGTCCTTCGAAACAGAAGATTACGTTTCTGTGAGCCATATTTTGAAGACTACGTTTAAAAGAATAGGAGCCATATTTTAATAATGGTTGATTTAGGTGTTTAATTGACTTGCTTTATTGATTCACATGACAAAAGTAGGCTACGTAAGATAGATTTGAGACTCCTACAAACTAGGAGAATATACTAATCCTATTAAATATATATCTATCCCCAATACTCTCCCTCAAGTTGGAAAGTGAAGATTTCGAACACCCAACTTAGACAACAAGTATTCAAATGGAGCATGATCCAACGCCTTGGTAAGAATGTCCACCAACTGCTCTTCAGAACGAACGTGATCCGTGACTATAAGTCCTTCTTCAACTGCGTCCCGAACTGCATGACAATCCGACTCGACATGCTTAGTGCGCTCGTGGAAAATCAGATTAGAGGCAATGTGAATTGCCGCCTTATTGTCACAATACAAACGTGTAGGTTGAGACTGATCAATCCCAAGCCCCGCTAACACACGACGAAACCATTTTATTTCACGAAGAGCGACTACCATTGCACGATACTCTGCTTCATCGGAAGAATGTGAAACTGTGTCTTGCTTTTTCGTTTTCCAAGCTACAGGAGACCCTCCTAGTAGCACAACAAAAGCACTAAGCGATCGTCGTGTCAACGGACATGAGTTGTAGTCAGCGTCACAATAAACTGTAAGCGTTAGATCGGGATTAGACGTAAAGAAGATGCCTTGACCAGGAAAACCTTTTAGAAAACGAACAATACGCAATGCAGCTTCCCAGTGAGAAACTTTAGGCTATTTCATAAACTGAGATAAAAGATGAACAGAGTAACAAAGCTCTGGTCTCGTGTTCAGTAGATAAATCAAACGCCCCATAAGTCTCCGGTACGGCTTCGGATCTTCTAAAATTGGACTGTCTATGGTGGCGAGCTTGTGATCTTGCTCCAGCGGTGTCGCAGCATGCCGAGAACCGAGATTACCTGTCTCGGCAATGATGTCCAACGCATACTTATGTTGTGACAAAAAAATTCCATCCGGACCTCTACTGATTTCGATACCCAAGAAATACTTAAGTTTTCCTAAATCCTTCATCGAGAAGCAAACTCAAATAATCTTTAAACTTCTAGAGCATATAACTATCATTCCCACAAATGATCAGATCATCGACGTAAACCAGAACTCAAAGCTCAATGTCCTTACGCGAGTACGCAAACAGAGAGTAATCTTCGTAAGATTGCTCAAAACTAAAACAGAGCAAATCATCAAAGAGTTTTCTTGAACCAACAGCGAGGCTCTTGCTTGAGCCCATAAAGTGACTTACGGAGACGACAAACCTTCCCTGGATGAGAATGACGAAAGCCTGGGGGAAGTTTCATGTAAACCTTTTCTTCAAGATCACCATGAAGAAAGGCATTGTTGACATCCATTTGGTAAACTTCCCAATTCTTAGCAGCAACCAGACGAAGAACAGAACAGACGGTGTTCATTTTGACTACCGGTGCAAACGTCTCATCAAAGTCTTCTCCTTCGACTTAATGGTTTCCTTGTACAACAAGCCGCACTTTGTATCTTTCTATTGTTCCGTCGGATTTATACTTAGTCTTATATACCCAAAGACAACTGAGAGCTTCTTTACCAGGAGGGATATCACAGATATCCCAAGTACGTTTCTGTTCCAATGCATCAACCTCAGTACCCATCGCATCATTCTAAACCTTCATACGAACAGCGTCCCTAAAATGTTTTGGTTCCTCCCCAGCTGTTATGGCCGCAAAGAAAGCTTTCTGCCCTGGAGAGAAACTTCATCGGAGATATAGTGAGATAATGGATAGAGAGATGTATCTTGGACCGACGAGGACTGAGATGTAGGGTCAGGAGGAGCGTGATGGGGGTCTTGACTGCAGACAACATAGTATGTGATGTAATCACGGAGTTTAACAGATTCTGCCTTTTGGCGCAAACCACGACCCAAAGGAGGATCAGAGTCAGTCGATGGCACACCAGCCGTGTTCTGTACGCTAACGGATTCTCGAGGAGAGGTTTCTGTGACAGTCGTTGAGGCAGGTTCTTGTGGATTTGCTGAGACAGGTTCTTGTGAATGTTCTGTCACAGGTTCTTGTGTAATAGCTGCCTCAGGTTCTTGTGGATTGACTGCCACAGACGGAGTTTCAGGTGAGCCACTCCCCCTCACAACAAAAGGAATAGAAGAGATAAGCCAGTCGTCATCAACGCACGCAGATGGTGAAAATTGTGGTAAGAAGGGATTGGTCACCGAGAAAGGAAAGACTGTTTCCTTAAACACCACGTCACGAGATACAATAAACTCCTCCCGCTCTATATCAAAAACTTTCCAAGCCTTCTTACCAACTGGATAACTAAGAAAAACACAGCATTGACTCCGCTGACCAAACTTATCCTTGTCTCGAGTTACTCTATGAGTATAGCATTCACTCCCAAAAGCACGTAACTGGTCATAGGACGGTTTATGACCATGTAACAACTCATACGGAGAGCGACCCAAATGAACAGCAGATGGTGTTCGATTAATAAGATATGCCGCCGTAAGCACAGCTTCTCCCCAAAATTTGATCGGAAGATTTCCTTGAAAGAGTAACGCAAGCGCCACATTCAGTATATGTTTGTGCTTACGTTCTACACGACCATTCTGCTGTGGTGTTCCCACACAAGAAGTTTGATGCACAACACCCTTCTCGCGAAAGTAAGAGGAGAGACACATAAACTCAGTGCCGTTATCACTCCTCACCATCTTCACCGATTTGCCAAACTGTTTCTCGGCATAAACGAAGAAATTCTTCATTACTTTACTAACTTCAGACTTCTCAAATAACAAATATATCCAAACAGCTCAAGAATAATCATCCATAATAGTCAAAAAGTAAACAGCACCAGTGGATGAAGGTACACGATATGGACCCCATACGTCGACATGAATAAGTTGGAAACAATCCGTTGTCTTATTAATACTGACAGAAAACACTTCTCTAGTCTGTTTTGCTCGAAAACATATGTCACACGGACCCAAGCATACAGGTTTTGAAACACCAGAAAACAAAAGTAAAGAAGAAAGCACATAAAATGATGGATGTCCTAGCCGTTGGTGCCACATAGTAGAATCCGAATCCGCAATTGCTCGATGAATCCTTGCAGCCATAACATCCTTGAAGTAGTAAACCCCATCACGTTCCTCACCAGCTCCAATCAGAGTCCTCGAAAAACGGTCCTGCAACACGCACAGAGTGTCAGAAAACAAAGCTATACCACCGGTTTGTTTCAGTAGCTTCGACACAGAAATCAAAGTGCAATTGAGATCTTGCACAAACAGAACATTAGGTAAAGTGAGAGGGGAGGAAAGAGTCAAGACTCCTTTGCGAAGAGAGACTGTTTTCCCACCATCAGCAAAACCAATAGAACAAGGGAGAATCGTCTCGAGGTTGTGTAACAATGAGAGATTTCCTGTCATGTGATGTGAGGCACCTGTATCAATTATAACATCACCATAACCTTTCTAACCAGACAGTTTATCAGAACCTGAATCACCCAATTTTCTCTTGAATCAGCTTGGAAAGAGCTTTCCACTGATCCGGAGTAAACTCAGGAAAGGACGAAGCATTAGAGCTTGTGGCGTGAGCTGCGTTAGCTTGACCACGACCACGCCCTGAACTGTTGATACCTCCACCTCGACCACCTCTTCCACGACCACCGCGATCAGAAGAAGAGTTGTTACGATCGTTCCACCAGTCTGGAAAGCCAACGAGTTGCCAACAGTCCTTCTTCTCATGACCTGAACGACCGCAATGACTACACGATGCGTTCCGATTACGAATCGAAGACGAAGATGGAGAGTCAGCACGAGGATCTGAACCTGAGACATTCTCGCAACGGACAGAACTTGAGACATCCTCACGACGAGCCGAGTATCCCAACGCCTCATGTTGCTGCTCACGGAGGCGAGCCGTATTCAAGCGTTGTTCTTCACGAACAACTTTGGCATAGATTTCTCCAAGTGTTGATAGTGGATCCGCTGCAACGATCCCAATGCACAGACCACCAAAACGCGAGTCATCTAGGCCCATTACAAACTGATGTATCTTTTCTTCCTCTCTCTCTTTAGCAGACGCCGATGCAGCACCACATGAGCATGAGATCGAAGTTTGATATGTTTGCAACTCGTCCCACAACGTTGAAAGATGTCCGTAATACTCCAAAACAGTTTGTCCATCCTGCCTACACGAAGAAAGTTGACTCTTAATCTGATGAACACGAACTTTATTCCCACCGAGAATCTCTCCTTGAGCTCCGTCCACAGGAGGTGAGCATCGGAGATGTACGACACCGTCGACCGAAGGTTCGATCGAAGCACGAATCCAGCCTACTATCATGGAGTTCACCGTTAACCAGTTCTCCATGTCAGAACTACCACTCGCAGGCTTCGGGATTGCTCCGTGAATGAAACTTGTTTTGCGTTTAGCTTGTAACGCATTGAGCAACTCCAACGCCCACTCATTGTAATTCTCTCCATTCAAAAGAACAGAGGTAATTAACGTGCCCGAATTATCAGATGCCGCCAAAGTATAAGGCGAGATCAAACGAACCTCTCCAACTGGAGACAACGCAGCACCGCTGCTATCTAGGGCTCCACCGGAACCTAACGAGCCACTGGCTATACGGTTTCCACTGGAATCTGTTGTAACACCACCAGGCGGAGGATCAATGTCTTCTCCGGTCATAGCAAAGAAAAGCGAAAGATCAAACGTAATATTTAGGTTTGAAGATCTTCTACTCTGATATCATGTAGATTTATGTGTTTAACTGATTTGCTTTATTGATTCACATGACAAAGATATTTATATAAGAGTTAGGCTACATAAGATAGACATGAGACTCCTACAAACCAGGAGAATATACTAATCCTATTAGATACATATCTATCCCCAATAATTATGATCTGAATTAAAGACAAAATGTTGTTGTTCTGTTAGCATCTTCTTTGTTTTTTCAGTTGACGTTGACGCATGATTTGGTTTTAGTTTGGCACCGTTTGGGAATAGAATCGAAATGTTTTATACAAAATAAAAAGAGAAAATAGTTTAGACAACAAATATTTTTTCTTTGATTTAACTTAAGACTAATTTGGATAATATTGTAGAAAATATTGATTATATTTTTATCAAGCCAACCATATGTCTATTAACTTAATTATGAAATCAATATGATTATTGAGTGCAATATCCCAAAGTTTTTGAATAAAGCTTTTTTTTCCCTGTCTCTAGAGTCATATGCTCTTCTTGATTTAGTTATGGTTCGAAATATTTATTTTGTGACTAAATGAATATGCTTACATTTATCGTTTATTTTGTAAAACTTCAAATTTCTTAAAACATATGTACACCGTCAAGAATGCCGAAATTACAATTAAATTTTAAATACTTTCTACAATTTTTAACTCCATCATGTTGTAGCAACCACTAAAAAAAATAATTTTTTTATACACGACTAGTCTAAAACTTTGATCATTTTATCATATTTTGGTGTTGGCATTATTGTATTTATGTCCTTAAATATGCTGGTCTTAGTCAACTATATATCATATCAATAATTTCAAAAACGTTTCATAATACATTTAATAAGAATTATTTGGCATTAATTGCTAACCATAGCAATTAACTTGGATTAAAACAAGGAGAAACAGAATATATTGTTGTTCTTTCAACATCAGACTGCGTATTCTGTTGAGTATTATTGACAAATGATTTGGCTTGTTCTTCTTTAATAGTATGATCCATCTACACTGTCGTTTATAAAATTTCTATACAAAATTACAACTAAACTTAGGGGAACGAATTAATATCAAGTTGCAGGACCATAAGTTTTTCACGGAGTAGCACCGCGGCAAATGACGATCCTTTTAAATAGACAAAACAAAAAGAAACCTCTTCACATAATCTCTATGGTCCGAACAAATCGATTCATTCAGGCAAACAAAACTTAAACATGATCAGGAAGCAAATCGTTGTAATAAATGTCGAACTAAAGAATGTAATTAAATATGTTGACCGCGTAATTACATTAGTAAAAAAAATCAATTCAAAGACCATTGTTAGTAAATAAACGTCCGTAATAATTGTATTAATATTAAGATTTGATTTCAAAGTTTCTTACTTTTTTTTACCAAAATATATTATGGCATTATAAACACCAAAAGATTAATTTCCCTCTTTTAAATGTTGACAGCATTTATATACACATACAATATATATAGATGCGTGGGTGTATAAAACCAAGATGCGTATTTGAATCTCTCTCTCTCTCTCCTCTCCTCTGTGTTGAGTAATGGGTTCGAAGGCTAACGCCATTTCTTATGGCTCTGCATTAGTTGTATCGCTTCTTGTTCTTGTTCTTCTTCAAGAAGCAGAAGGATGTGATATGTTCACGGGGCGGTGGGTGAAGGACGCTTCTTACCCACTTTACGATCCCTCCACGTGTCCCTTCATACGGCGCGAGTTCGGCTGCAAGAAAAATGGACGGCCGGATCTCGATTACCCTACTTTCAGATGGCAGCCTCAGAGCTGCAAATTAGCAAGGTATATAATTATCTATCATCCATTAAATTAAGATTACTTTTATTTATTTTGGTTTCTTGGTGTACTGAATTAAGGTATCGTTACAAATATAACAGGCACATATTTTTTTTATTACTTTCTTAAATCTATTGTCAGTTGTTGAAATATGATAGTATTATAGTAGTGAAATGAAGAAAAATGGTAAAAGACATACTACAAGTCTTCCTAAAAAAATTGTCGGTTTCAAAATTGTTATTTAGGAATAGAAAGTTTAGTGTGAAGAAATCTTGTTTTGATTCATGTACTTTACAAGAAAATAGAAAAATAGTTACTGCTTTAACAAAAAGAAAAAACTAGAGATATCTGCATAATGTAGAGTTGTAGACCTTTTTTGGTGCAAAGCACTTTTAAGTGAGCAACGAATGATAGAAGAGAATGCTATTTATATTTGTTTTGCCATAATTGAATGCTTTGTTTGGATTTGGAATCTCTAAATCACAGTATGTGCCAACTGGTATCTCTGTCGTGAAATACACGCGCAACCATTGAGATTAAGACACCCACCAAACATAAATTCCCCCACACATGTGGGGACACTAACTCAAACTCTTGACCATTTTGTCCTGCTGTTTTTCTCTTACTGCCTCCCATAAAACGCCACCGTTTTCAACTGTTTGTGTGTGTGTGTGTGTGTAGGTTCAACGGAGTGGAGTTTTTGGAGAAAAATAGAGGGAAGAAGATAATGTTTGTGGGTGACTCTCTTAGCTTAAATCAATGGCAATCTTTGACATGTATGCTTCATTCTTCTGTTCCAAACTCGCCTTATGTTGTAACCACACAAGGCAGTATCTCAACCTTCACATTCCAGGTAATAAACCAAAATCTACGCTTGTCTTGGTTTAAGTAAAAAGTTTCTCGACTAGACGAAACTAAACCGGAAATTGTGAATATTTTTTTCAGGAGTATGGAGTGGAGTTGAAGCTTGATAGGAATGTGTATCTGGTAGACATAGTGAGGGAGAAGATTGGGAGAGTGTTGAAGCTTGATTCGATCAACGATGGAAAGTATTGGTCAGGTATGGATACATTGATCTTCAACACTTGGCATTGGTGGAGCCGGAGAGGTCCTACACAACCGTACGTTTTACATTTCTTCAGTTAATTAATTTGCTTATTCTTGCCTTAATCACACACAATTTGATGCTCACAAATATTTGCATCATTTTTGGCAGATGGGACTTTATTCAAATAGGGACAAACGTTACAAAGGACATGGACCGCGTTGAAGCATTTGAAATCGCACTTGGGACTTGGGGCAAATGGGTCGATACGGTCGTAGATACTACAAAAACTAGAGTATTTTTCCAAGGAATTTCACCGTCTCACTACAAGTAAGTTGTTAATACATTTTTTTACTAGAAAACGTATCTAAAACGTATTTAATTAATAATGTTTTTTGTAATAGGGGAGCTCTATGGGGTGAACCAACGGCTAGGAGTTGCGCGGGACAGAAGGAACCACTATTAGGGACAAAGTATCCAGGAGGATTGCCAGCAGAAGTTGGAGTTTTGAAGAGAGCCCTCGGGAAAATATCCAAACCGGTGACGTTGCTAGACATTACTCTGCTCTCATTGCTTCGCAAAGATGGTCATCCTTCGGTTTACGGTCTAGGCGGCCGAACCTCTAATGATTGCAGCCACTGGTGTCTCTCTGGTGTACCGGATACTTGGAATGAGATTCTTTACAATTATATGGTTAAGTAGGCAAAATGAAAAGCGTCGGAAACACAATTTTATAGCATACATATTTGTTATTGTGTTTGATTCCATTTTTGAATCTTAATGAATAAAAAAGGGTCCGTTTTGGATGGTGAAAACATTAGGTCGAATATTTGTATATACGAGTGAAATCGAAGAGGTTGTGCGGTCAAGTCTACATCCAACCATTTGTTTTTTTACGTGAATTTCTAATTTTACTGAAAAACATTTATGGCCATATACGTAAATAAGACTAATAAAAAAAACATTTATTAAAAAAAAATTGGTCAAAGTTGATTAAATATCATATACGTAAATTAGACTCAATGCCAAACATTTATGGAGATTCAATGCTGTTTTTCATAGTCTCCCAATTTTGTTTGATAAAATACTAATTTAGATATACCATTAAGAAAATCACAAGGGTCCTTAGCTCAGTGGTAGAGCATTTGACTGCAGATCAAGAGGTCACCGGTTCGAACCCGGTTGGGCCCTTTAACTTTTTTTTTTTTTTCCCTTGAGTTCCATGTTTTTGCCTTCATCCTCGTCTGGTTTTCAGTCTTGAGTTTTGATAGAGTGACTTGATTGTCTCTCATTGTGCCGACTATGATGATATCTAACAAAGGTTCTATCTGAAGCAGACCCAAGAAGCATCAGACAAACTCCTGGAACGTCAATTTAGCAATCCAAGAGACATATGGTCAATAAGTGTTGATGCTCGTGCGTGACATTTCTAAATGATGATGACATTTAAACCAGACATAAAACTCTGCTGGTGTTTATAGTATTAGTAACGAATAGCCGGTTCTTGTGAGTTGTGAGCTCGTAAACATATAATGACGACTTAAGTTTACACAAAACAGAGTGTTAGGAATAAATCAACAATCCTTCATTACAAGACAATCCCTTTTACAGTACCTTTTTTCTTCTTTCATCTGTGTAATAAGATTTTTTCTCAGAAACTAAAAACAAACATAACCATTCTTCCCAAAGCGTCCAAGAAGTAAACAACACACCCAGGAAAAACGGATTCTGATGAGATTCCTAGAATCGAAAAGGAGTTTCAGGTCCATACTTGCTGCTCCTCATGTTGAAATGATCAAACTTTGAACTATTATTACTGTACTCTACAGGCTTCACCGTATCCGACGCACTCGTCTTCGGCTCCGCCTCGCTTGTTTTGTCTCTATGGCGACGCCTCGACGATCGCTCTTTATGTACCTTCGGTTGTACAACCTCTCCCGAGGCATAAAACTGAGCATACTCCTGCCGTTTCGATGATGAACGGTGGTGCTTGGACGATGACGACAAAGCCGGATCTTTCACCACACTGCTTGACCTCACCTTCGTGGTCGTCTTATGTTCCGTGTAACTATCACTCGGCTTAGGAAGATGGGCATGACGAGACTCAGACACTGGCGCTGGCGCAGTATGCCTTTGCACTAGAGGTGGTTCTTGCTCGTCTTCAGGCATCTTGAGTCTATCTTTTAGCGGCCTCAGACTATGACTGGCTTTGAAACGAGCTGGGAGTAAGTTGCTGGTTATAAACTCGAGAGCGAGTTTGCAGAGATCTATAAGGAGTTGTCCGAATGATGGCCAGCCAGGTTCTTCCTTGGTTGTTGTGGTTGTCTCAAGAACAGGTCTAGAGAGCTTCTCTTTGCCTTGATGATGCTCCTCTTCAAAGCGTAGCTGCTGTAAGGTTTAAATCAGAAAAACCTTTTGTTAGTCTAATGAGAAGTGAAAAGAGGTTTAAAAGAGAAAGAAAAACGAAAACCCTACCGTCTTTGAGAAGAAAGGGTTTCCAAAACCTAGCTGGAGCAAACAAGTAGCGTAACCAACGAGAACGGCTCCAACAACCAAGAGGATATCTGTAGAAGAGATGGAGCTAGAGTGATGTTCACAGTCCTCTTCACTAAGAGAGATTTGGCGAAGAGCCGCGTTTCCTCTGTCGATGACGAGCAAGGAGCAAGTAGGACGAACGTAAACGACATCGAAATCGTTAGAGAACTTGGCGTCCTCGCTTGGTCCGTCTCTGTAACCAGCCACGTTTGATTTCCCTCCGGCTATCGTAGTCACAACACCTGAATCTCCGATCTTACGGATGGCGAGGTTTAGAGTGTCGGCGACGTAGATGTTGCCTTTGTCGTCCATTGCGACTCCTCTCGGATGATTGAAACGAGCCTCGCTTGGTTTGCCATCTGCGTGTCCTGTTTTGCCTTGGAACGATCCAGCCACTAATCTTCCCTTGCTGTCTACAAATTATTATTATAAACAAAAGTCATAAAAACAATATGAGGAAAAATCAAACACATAGTTATGAGAAATTTACACTGGGACAAGGGAGGCGTGATTTTCATGATGTTGCTGTTGACTTCATCGACGGCGTAAAGTTCGCCGTCGTCGGAAACTCGGATCTTGTAAGGGACAACTCCGATTTCGTTTCCTTCCACGACGGTTTCGACTAAGTAACCGTTCTCGAACTGAAGAACATTCGTATCTGCTGAAGATTATATCAAATCCAGGTTTATTCAACAGCAAACAATTCAAGCTATAAACCGATTACCGAATTGAGCAAAATTAGTAACCTGATTGGGAGATTTTAGAGGATGATGATCCGGTGGTCCACTTGAGAACCCAGGACATGTGCTTAATTAACGACCCTAGTTTCCAATTACACACAAATTCACCATAGAAACAAAAATCAGATTGATTGATTACTGACGGAATTTGACGAAATGAGAAAGTGAGTGAGATGATGAAATAGAGATCGAGTAAGTTGGTTAGATTACCAGAAGGAGCAGCTTGCGCTTGAAAGGGAAAGCAGAGAAGAGTAAAGACGATGGATAAAGTAAATAGAGTCTTTAAAGACGAAGAAAAGCTCTCAGCGAGTAGAATCTGAGATTTGCCCATCTCTCTCTCTCCTGTAGCTTCAAAGTACAGTTATGTTCGAATCGAACCCTAAAAGGCGATTCACATATTCCAATACCGAAACTGATAGAATGAAGAGATCAATTCGCAGATGACAACAGTTTATTTTACTGTGTTCTTATCACTTGTATTTTGTGGTTGTCTTCTTGTGAAAATTTAATCACTCCACTATTATTGCTCGTGAGAGCCTGTTAATTACTGAACCTATTACTGTACTGGGCCTTTTCGAGGGCCTGTTAGATAGCCCATTCCCCGTTAGTGGTAAATGCTTACGCACTTATGTCCTCAAGGAAAAGACAAAATAATTAGAAAACAAGAAAAGAAAAAAGCTGATCAGATCAGAAGCACTTCTACGATTTGTCTAATCACATCATGCCGTTTCACTGTCTATTTTCTCTTATAGGTAAATGAACAGTAAATTCATAATCTATGCATATACAGTACTAGGCTCGCTCATAGCTCTCAATTTATTTCAAAATGAAATTGAGATTCATATTGTCGCATTTTTTTCCCGTCTCTTTCATTACTACCTCCAGTGAGTCCACTCCATGTAATTGGTAATTTGATAAATTACACTCATATGCCCACTAGCTCATAATGTTAATACATGAGTTTTGTTGTATGGCACAGTGCATTTTAAACCCACCAAAACTAATGGTTTAGTTATCGCCTTAAGAAAAAAATCAAACTTTTGACTTTGCAGTTCTCATCCTTGATTTTCTTCCATGGGAAAGACAACTGTGATTATTGGTAAAATCCAATGCTGCTATTTAGCTGTCTTTATGCAAGTTGGAGTTAATTAATAGATCTGATTATAAATTTGTGGAATGATCAGATATTTTTAGAAATCTCCAACGAGTTAGTATAATGTGCAGATCTGTAATCTAATCATATCGTTTATATGAATGATAATTCCATCATCATTTACTGAGATTTGTGCTTTTAACATGGTTTCCTAAGCTGGAATTTTTAAGATATTCTAACAAAAAATTGCTTTTTGAAATGGAAGACGATCTCAAACAAAAATTTCATGAAACCTAGATTAAAGGTGTAGTTTTGGTAAATAAATCACCAAATTATCAAATTAAGGCAATTAAATACGGAACTAAACAAGAGTTTCAAAAGCGTGGTCGTTTAACACTTTAACACTCTTTAGTTGCCACGTGTCCTCTATCGACCCCACTTATACGAGAAGGTCCGGTCTTCGTCACTTCGTGTACGTACGCAACAACAGCTTCACTTTCAAAAATAAAAACAAAAAAATAGAATACTGTACTTTCCTAAACCGGCTAAACCGTATGATTTTGCGTTTCTGTCTGATTACATTGAAGCATTAAAAAAAGATGTCATAAATCTCTTTCATCTTTTATTCCCTGAAATACCATTAACACCCTTTCCGTTTCGACGTTTCCGCACCGTCCAGCGGCAATGTCGGTGTAAATATCTTCTGGTCACGAGGGTAGTTTCGGAAATTACAAGTCTTTTGAACTTCCCTAGGCTCTCACTCTGTCTCCCTTCTCTGTCATTTACTACTCTCCTCCTACGACCCTTTCTCTCTCTAAAGCTTTTCTCTTTTCCCATCTCTTTCTCGAGCTCTGGGTTTTTTCTTGGAACCGTGAAGGAATCTGTCTTTTTCAAAATTGTCGCTAGGTAAACCATTAAAAAGGTTTACAAAACGCATAGATATTTTCCGGGGAGAGTGTTTTCTTCATCGATCAGGTTTGTTTATCAACAACATTCATTATTTTTGTTTCTTCTGAATGATTTCGGCTCCAAACTTTCCATTATTGTGCAGTTTGTTGTTTCCTCTCATTTTCAATCTATAAATATATGATTCCGACTTGTTTAAGGTCTCATAATCAAATCGTCGATAACAATAATGCCATGGTTAAGCATTCATTCACTCTGTTTTTTAGTGTTTTTGTTTCTCATATTCGGTTTTGTGTTTCCTACCATTTTTCTTGGGTAGGTAGTGATTTGTAAATTGTAATTCTCATATGATTGATTTGATCTTGCAGGGTTTAACCGGAGGTTGGTTTGTCATTTCTGTCCAGTTGGTTTCTTCAGATTCACTCTACAATGAAGTGAGAACCACAAAACAAAACATTGAAACACAGTGAGAGAGACAGAGCGAAAGAGACCTTACAACTTTTAAAAGGTACTTACAATCTTTAAAATCTGTAACACAAATCTTACTTCTTTATCTTTAGAGAAATAGAGAATATGGATGTTGTTTTTCGTGAGTGTGTGACTGTACTAAATGTTAGGTAGCTATGTTAGGCTTAAAGGTTGTCTTACTCTTGAGTGGAATCAAATGACCATTCAAGAGAATCAATATACATAAAGGCATGTGTGTGTTTGTGTGTGGGGGCACTTTTCAATTCTTGGATTCTAGTTTAACTGATTTGGTTTGTAGCAATTATGACTCCTAAATACTCTAATCCTTTTTCTTTCTTTCGCAGTGTTCTATAATTGATAACTCATGAACAACTTTGAGTATGTACATATAATTAAACCCATTAGCTCTTTTGCACTTTTCTTTCATGACTGTTTCTTTTCGGAAAAAGTGATAGAAAATAAGGAGGGATGTTGAATGAATTATTTGCATGTGTCATATGTTCTGCAGATAACCAGTTTGGGGTACAAGTTTTATTATATGTTATTTTCTCACTTTTGTTTGATTCTATTGGCAGCACATTTTGACTAAATAGCCCCACCACATATATATAGCAAAAAGATTTCAAGAACATGAATGTTAAGATAAAGTAAAGTAGATCGGTTCATGAAAAGAAATGGTACTACTCACGCAAGTTGTTTATTCTTCTTCCTTGGACATTTCTTGATTGTTTATTCCTTTCAAATAAATACCTTTTCTTATACATATAAACCACATTGTCCCCACAACTTTGGGTGAATGTTTAAGCTGTATCCACTAGATAACCTAAGCATGTCTCTCTCTCTCTCTCTATGTATATATATGTAAATGTAAATGTACCTCTCTCCTTTGAGACCAAAAAAAGTGTAGAGTGAACCACTAGTGAAACAATCTCTTTAAGCTTCTTCTCTGCTCTTTATCTTTTTTTTTGTTGTTAACCAAAGAAGAAGTCTTACAAAGTGAAGCTACATTTAATGGTCCTAGATCCTTTTCCCTTTTTCTTTTTGTTTTGTAACATCCTCTTCTTAGCTTTTACTATCTCCACCGTACTAAAGCATTGGTGATGATCTTGCAGATGGAGACTGTGAAGCCATTAGATGTTGCTTCAGGGAAAGGAAAACTCAGACGCGCATTTGTGAAAGTCATCAACATGAAGAAGCTAACCGGTGTTGTTCCAGAAGAAGAAAAAGTTGAGAGAGTGAAGAAGAGCCAAGAAAAGGTGTTAGTGAAGAATGCAGCGAATCTGTCCGAGTCCTTTGACAAGCTTGAGGAAGAGTATGAGAAGAGACTCTCCATGGAAGCTCTTCTCGCAAAGCTGTTCGCTACGGTTTCTTCAATAAAAGCAGGTTATGCGCAGTTGCAGTACGCTCAGTCACCGTACGATCCAGCAGGGATTCAGAAATCAGACAACTTGGTCGTATCAGAGATGAAGACACTGTCTGAGCTGAAACAGAGTTTCTTGAAGAATCAGTTTGATCCTAACCCCGACAGAACTCTCGTTCTTGCGGAGATTCAAGAACTGAGAAGCGTGTTGAAGACTTATGAGATCATGGGGAAGAAGCTTGAGTGTCAGTTGAAGCTTAAAGACTCTGAGATCATATTTCTTCAAGAGAAGCTTGAAGAGTCCGTTAATCAGAACAAAATGATGCAGAAGAGACTCAACCAAAGCGGTCCGTTGGATCATAATAATCCAACACATTTCGTCACGTATCTGCACCACACTGTCAAATCAATCAGAGGATTCGTCAGATTGATGATCGAGCAGATGAAATTCGCCGGTTGGGACATCGACATGGCAGCTGAGTCTATACAGCGTGAAGTCTTTTATTACAGACAAGACCAGAAGTGTTTCGCTTTCGAGCATTTCGTCTGCAAGATCATGTTTGAATCGTTTCATCTACCTTTCTTCACAAGCGAGTCATCATCATCATCATCATCATCATCAGGTCACAAGAAGAGCAGAGAAACGAAGGAGATGTTCTTCGAGAGGTTCACGGAGCTTAGATCGATGAAAACGAAAGAATGTTTAGCGTCGAGGCCTAAATCAAGATTCTCGAGGTTTTGCAGAGCCAAGTATCTGCAGCTCGTGCATCCGAAGATGGAGCAAGCGTGCTTCGGGCATGTGCATCAGAGAAACCAAGTCTCCGCCGGTGAGTTTCCGGAGACGAGTTTCTGCGATGCGTTTCTAGAAATGGCGAAACGGGTTTGGCTCTTGCATTGCCTCGCTTTCTCGTTCGACCCCGAAGCTTCGATTTTTCAAGTATCTGAAGGTTGCAGATTCTCTGAAGTTTATATGAAGAGTGTGGCAGAGGAAGCGTTTTATTCGTCTGAATCTGAGCCTCGAGTTGCGTTCACGGTGGTTCCTGGGTTTAGAATCGGCAAAACTTTGGTTCAGTGTGAGGTTTACCTTAACGCCGTTTGATCAGTTTGATGGCATCACGGGACGGTGGAGTTTTTTTCCCCGGCGATGGCGTCAGAGGGGTATTAGGGTAATTTAGGTGGTTAGGCAAATAAATGAAGGAGTTAATTTGCTGACCGTTGGATTAAGGGAAGAGGCGTTATGTGACTGTTGAGAGTATGTTTTTTTTTTTTCTTTTTAATTTTGTCAATATTAGAGCAGAGAGACGGAAGCATCTCTTAGCTGTGTTGCATCAATTATTACTTTATTAGCTATCGTCACTACTTCTCTATCTTATGTAAATAATTCGTAATACTGATAATAATAGTGATGTCATTGCTATTTTCAACATATGCATGATGTTGCAATCGATTGAAAATGATGTCGATTATTGCATCGAATAAGGAATGTATATGAACATGATTAAAAAATATTGGAATGGAGAAAATCTTGTAAAAGGGATTTTTGAAGCACGGATTTGATGTTTTTCTGCATTTTATTTACCTTGATTGATGATAATAATAATTTCATGGGTCCATTTAAATTTTTGGTAGATCTTCTGGGCCCGAAATTAGTCCTATCCAAGATCTTATATTTCCCATTCACAACGTTCGGGTCCATGCTCGGTTTTGGATTGACCCGGTTTAGTCCGGTTCGCATCACAATGTCGCAAATGTAAATGTACACCAAATTTAAGAGTCAACATTAAATTCTGCAAAGCGATAAACTTCTACTTTTTGACTGGTCAACAAATTGTAGGCATCTGTAAAATTTCAAGAAAATGAAAAATCAAGATTGAACGTTAAATACAATAACGAAGTCGGTGACAAAAATATCTTGTTATATAAAAGCATAGTGTAGTAGACTGTAGACATGTAAAAAAAAATTGGTTGGACCATCCCAATCACTACGGAGGAGGACCAAAAAAATGAGCCAAGAGACAGAAATGGCAAGCTTCAAAAAGTTCCAACAGTCATGGATCGAGCAGCTACAACACCACCTGAACCACCTTCGCTCCGCCCAAAACCACCACCGAAACTCGGTCGCCGGTGATGAGGACCGGCTAAGGGAGGCGGTGGAGAGAGTGATGGAACACTATAGAGAGTACCACAGGGCGAAGTGGGGGACGACGGAGAAAGACGTTATCGGAGTTATGGCTGCTCCTTGGTCCTCGGCTCTTGAACGGTCTCTCCATTGGGTCGGTGGTTGGCGACCAACCACCTTGTTTCACTTGGTCTATACCGAGTCTAGTATCTTGTTCGAGTCTCGTATTGTTGATATCCTCCGTGGCTTTCGTACCGGCGATCTCAGTGATCTATCTCCTTCTCAGTTCAGGTTATATACGAAAAACCCTTATTATCTACTTATTTTACTAATCACAAACCATTTTATGCCAAACTAGCTAGTAAATGTTCATTTTCTAAGCTAGGGAAACTACATATGGAGGTCAGTTTTAACCCTAGTTAGTACCGGTTTTTAAAAAAATACTGATCCGTTGTTGCTATTTTATTGGGTAGTTGTAAAAAATGTAAATATGTTTTTAAAAATTGCTATGACTAACTAAAATGATTTACTTCAAATTTTAATATTAGGGTTAAATTTGTCAAAGGCAGGACGGTGAGCGAGCTTCAATGTGAGACGGTGAAGGAAGAGAATGCGATGACAGAAGAGTTATCGGAGTGGCAAGACGACGCGAGCGAGCTCGTCATGGGAACGGTGTCGGATCTTGATCAGAGGATCCGACGACTAGCAGAGATCGTCCATCGAGCTGACGATCTACGGCTGAGAACAATCACAGGAGTGGTGGAGCTTCTAAGTCCGCTCCAACAAGCCGAGTTTCTTATAGCTGCGGCTGAGCTTCGTACCGGCGTTTCTGGTTGGGGGACTACCCACGACCGTCGTCGAACTTCCGACGTCTAAAGCTGATTAAAGCTTTTAAAAAATTTATGAGAGTTGAGAAGATTTTGTTAGTTTTTAGATAATAATTATATGTTTTTACCATGTGTCTTGATTATCCAAATTGAGTTTGGTTTTACATGGTTATGAATTATATGAAACACCTATGTGTTGTCTTCTCGGTCGCAATTAATATCTTATTATGTGTTGTGCTTGTTAATTTTTCCCAGTTGGATTTTTTTCTTTTACGTAAATTTAGACTTTTGTTATTTTGCTAATAAAATATTATATATACACAATATCGGGGACATGGGTAGTTGTTGTTTCTTTAGACCAAGTGGATAAACAGAAAATGATCAAGCAGGAAAGTTACAAAAAAGGAAGACCTGAAGTGAACGTGGCATGTTCATGTCTCTTGAAGACATGCATGAGGACACTTGGTATGGCACGCGTCCTCCTATCACGGCGTCGAATCCTAACATGTTCTTTGGTTGGGTTCTAAGATTGTTCCTCACAAGTATTTTATTTTAATCGAAGTCAAGTTGATGACATGACATTGTATTCTTATAATAGTTTGATAAATGGAGAAATGGTTGACAGAAAAAAAAAAGATAATTGGAATTTGGAGACATGTCTCTTTTCAAACTCGTATACATGCTTTGATGTAATTTATTGTTTTTCTTCCTTCACATTTGTATTTTATGAAAACATGTACGTGAATGGTGGGTTGATCTAAGCTTTGATATGTTTAAAACATACAATAAATAAAAAATTATACAGTAAATAAAAAATCTTATGATCTATGTAAAGTTCGATGTGCAATGTGGTTGCATATAGGATTTTTATAATTAACTAGATTATGCCTCACATATATGCGGGTTTATTTACTTTTATTTTTTTTAAATCACGGAAGAATATTAAACAAAATTTGATCAATTTTAAAAATAAGAAAATAATATTAAAAACCCGATAACAAATCTCTAAATAAAGATATGTAGTCTTTTACATTTTTATTTTGAATTCATGATATGAAATAGAAAGATTTACATGTGTCTAAATCTAATCGACTCATTATTTTATGAAACTTTGATTATTCCATGATGAAATCTTTATTTTTAATATTTTTTTACCTAACAAAACATGAAAATTAAACTATTTAATATTAGAAGATCAGTCCATTATAAAATTTTTTTTTTAATATTATTTAGTTCCTTAATAATTATTTTGTTAGTTTTCTATTTATATTGTTTCTTTTTCAATTTCGTTTTTGCCTCTGACCATTATAAATTTTCATTTTCATTATTAGTTAGTTGTTTTAATATTATTTTGTTAGTTTATTTATTTATGTTACTACATTTTTCCAATTTTCTTGTGTTGACACATGTCATCACTTCATCAAATATTAGACACATGTATCGATCTAAAGTTAAGTATTCTTCATTGATATATTTAACATGAATTTTATTTCTTAATGAGAAAGAAACTTAAAAAATATATTGTTATATATTGTTTTTTTTCATTTTCGTAATGGGAATATGTTTTTTTATTCCTTTTCTTATTGGATGTAACATTTTTTAATTATTTCTTCATGTTTTTTTTTCTTGATTTTTGTTTTTTTTTTCGTAATAGAATTATGTTTTTTCTTTACTTCTCATAATGGATGTAATATTTTTTCTTTTTAATTGTTTGTTTCCTGTTTTCTGATTTTTCCTAATGTACTAATAGGATTTTATTCAAATAATTTTAATTTTGATCCAATTGACCTAGAGTCAAATAATCTCCACTGTTCTCTTGAACTTTCAAAGTCATGATTTTGAAATTAGAGAAAGAGAATCAAAGAGATTTTCTGAATTTGCTTTGATGAGTTTGTGAATATAACTCAATTTCATATAATTTTAGGATATTTAGTTTACATACCTACATGTACTAATAGGATTTTTTTAAATAGAGTTTATATAACCTATTCCATACAATTTTAGGATATTTAGTTTACATACCTATTCCATATACTAATAGAATTTTTTATTACATTATTTTTATTTTATTATATAAAATTTCGTTTTTATTATAAGATATTAAAATTTCCTTTAAAATAAAAATTTTCTTTTTTCCCTTAATACATGTGTCACGATCTTAACGGATATAATTAAAAGTGACACATGTCAATCCTATATTTTATAAAAATTTTACGTGTCGCAATCACATCACGTTCATCCAGCTTTATATAATAAGATACGTATCAAATATAAATTATTATTAAAATATATATCTATTATTTTATCAAATGATGACATGTGTTAACATTTAAACACAAAAAAATTGAAAAATATAATAATATAAATAAAAACGAATAAAATAATTTTCAAATAATTAACTGATAATGAAAATCAAAATTTCTAATGATTTAAGGCAAAACAAATTGTAGAGAAAACAATATAAACAGAAAATTAAAAAATAATTATCAAGTAACTAAATAATATTAAATATAAAAAATTATAATGAACCGATATTTTAATTTTAAATAGTTTAATTTTCAAATTTTTGTTACATAAAAAAAAAAGTATTCAGAAAAGATTTTATTAAAATCTTTGAATGAAATAATCAAAATTTCAAAAAAAAAACAATCTCCATCCATACAAAAATGTTCAGAAATTGGGCTTCAAAAATATGGGGGCGCATTCGGAAATTAGCCAGCTCAAATCCAAAAAACCAAGGGTGAATCGTTTACTTTCTGGACGTCGGTAACCAAATATACAAATTTACATTTATGCCCCCACTTTCCGATATCATTTACAATTTCACAGTGTTCTTTCTACTTGAGAATGGCGGGAACCCTAATCACCTTTATTCTCGAAATATCTCCCAAATGGCTTTATGGTTATTATAGTCTCCTTCGTGTCCCGCCATTCTCATTGTGTCCCCAATTTGATCACCCATCGATCCAATCTCTTTCTCCGAGAACAAGACAGTATCTCTCCCACCGTTACATTTGCAGAACATCGGCGATTAAGGTTTCACCGGAGACGATGACGATCGTAGCCGAGTACGCGAAATCGAACCGGTCCTCGTGCAAGTCATGCTCGAAGGCGATTGCGTCGAAATCCCTGAGGGTAGGGTTCAGTAGCAAGGGACCTGGCGGCTGTGACATGACCAAATGGCACCATTTCGATTGTTTTCCTACGGATTCGGAGTCGATTGATTCCGTCGATGATATCCAAGGATTATCCGCTTTAGAGGTAAGTGTTTCTCAGAGCATCTAGCTTACAATTTTAGGCATTTTTTTTTTGAACTCTCCAAGGGTCTAATGCATGTGTGTATGTGGTCACAGAAAGATGATCAGGATGCTTTGGTGAAATTGGTGGGACAGTGTGTTGAGCCTGCTAAAAAGGTAAGATCTGAAGCCTGAGTTTCTTACTTCAGTCTCGTTTGATCATCTAGATTTAGAATGTAGAGTGAATTTACTTTCCTTAACTGCTTATGCAGGTGGAGAAGAAAGAAGAGACTAAGAAGGCCGATTCAGATGAAAAAACTGGGAAGAAGAAGATTACGGAGGCGAAAGGCTCTTCTGCTGATTCAAAAGTGATTGCTGAGTACGCGAAATCAGGGAGATCATCGTGCAAGAAGTGCTCTGAGACGATCGCTGCAAAGGAACTGAGATTGGGGCTGGTGGCTAGAGACTTCCGGGGATATGATGTTACCAAATGGCATCACTTGGCTTGCTTTCCTGTTGAATCTGATCCTATTGGTTCTGTTGAGGACATTGGTGGATTTTCATCGCTGCAGGTTAGTTCAGGGGAATTTGTGGATTATATAGCATATCTCCTCTGGTTACTGGGATTATTAAATGATACAGATAGTGTTAAATTGAATATAGATGTGGTGTCAATATAGTATATGCTTATTCGTGCTGACACATCTTTGATTCATTTGTTACAATAAACAGGATGGTGATCAGGATGCATTGAAGGAATTGGTCCAACAATGCGACAAGAAGACTTTGGTAGATTTCTTAACAAATCCCTTTTTCGTATACAAAATTTGATGATTTTAGGCCTCTTGAAACTAACTTCTTACTTCATTTCCTGATGGGATTGTTGAAGATGGATGAAGATGGAACTGATAACCGTCTAACGGAGGAGACGAACAAAAGAAAACATTCTCAGGTTATTAGATAGTTATTATTAAAATTTTAATATGATTTGTTTGAAGTGGAATATCCATTGACCTGTAATTTATTGTTTCTTATGAAGGTTGGGGAGATGGTGGAAGAAGATGACGTGCAAATCAACGCGAACCAACAGGCTACTAGAAAAGCCAAGGTATGCAAAAAATGAGATGTATTACATATGTGCTAATGTTTGCCAGTCTCTTCCTTATGTTGAAATGCTCCTAACTGGTTTTATAATATTGTGTTATGCAGATGAACATCACCGAGTCAACTTCTCAGGTCGTAGCTGAAGTAGAAATCTCTCTTTCTGCTTCTGATGTGAAGGACAAGTACAGGGTAGGCACTCTTACTGTCTATTAGGTTAAAGTTGTGTAACTTTGATTCTATTCGTTTTTTCAACCATTATGTCTCTGGCTGATAATATCCTTGTTTCTCAGGATGCCAGTCTATTACCAAAATGGAAAGCGTTTGAGACAGTAATATTTCTTGAGCGGGTGAGAAATTATCTTCAGATATGATGTTTCTTCTCGAATATATGGTAATGTATTGTCTTAACGATAAATTCCTTTTCTGCACTTTAACAGGATGATGGTCTTAATGATTCAGACAAGATAGCTGCATTTGATTTTGATGGATGCCTTGCCAAAACATCTGTGAAAATGTAAGAATGTCACTCACAATTTTGTTCTTCTTCTCTGTTTTCAAACTCGTACAGTGGCCATTAATGATTTCTGGACCTGTACTTGTCACCAAGCACATATAGTAAATTTGGGCGGCCATGTTGTTATCTTTTCTTAACATAATTGTGTATTTCATGAACGTTCTTAGTGGATCATATTGTTTTCGTTTTCATTTTTCTCAGAGTAGGTGCAGATGCATGGTCCCTTATGTATCCTTGTATTCCTGAGAAAATGCAAAGTCTGCATAGTGAAGGCTATAAGCTGGTACCTTATTTTCATTTTAAATTCCATCTAAGCCATGCAACTCAATTGTCTCAATTTTGTTTAAATAGAGATGCTGATTTTAAATGTTCACCAGGTAATTTTCACAAACGAGTCCAACATTGATCGATGGAAGAACAAAAGGCAGGATGCTGTGGACTCCAAAATTGGACGCCTCAACGGTTTTATCAAGCGCGTTGGGGTCCCCGTTCAGGTGAAGTGTGCTTTAGTTATTTTATCTACTCAAGAACACTGTTTCAACAAATTATAGTTGAACTATTATTTTGAGTAGTTGAACTATGATGCATTCAGAAGCCATGTTTTGAAGTCGAGTCATGTGGCTTTTACTGAGTTGTTCTTGTGTATTGATATAATCACTAGGATAATTGTGTGATGATGTCTTTCAACTTGTTACTAGCTAACATTTGATTTTTGCAAACGTGCAAGTTCACTGGGCATGTTGTTGATAAATGGTTTTGTTTTGGAAACAGGTGTTTATAGCCTGCGGAGTCGGTAGTTCCGGTGGTAAAGGTTCTAGTGGTAAAGATGACCTTTACCGCAAACCCAAGGCTGGAATGTGGCAGCTCATGAAGAAGCATTTTAACTCCGGAATTGCAATTGATATGGATAAGTTAGTTTTTTTTTTCCTTTCCCCAACTTGCTCTTAAACTAGAAGATCTCACATTTGTGTTCTCACTATCACTTTATGTGCAATCAGATCCTTCTACGTTGGGGATGCAGCTGGAAGAAAAGGCGATCACAGCGACGCAGACATAAAATTTGCACAGGTATTTTGTTAAATCATTCATCTCAGCAAATACTCCAAGATACCTTCGTGCGGTTTTACTGATAGATACTTTCTTTGGTTGCAGGCGAGTGGTTTGAAGTTTTACACTCCTGAGGAGTACTTTCTCGCTTGAAGTACTTCATTACCGACTTACCTGTCTTGTGTTGTGTGCATTATGTTTTGTTTTGTCGACACGAATGCTTTTTGTGATCAAACTCAACTTAACTCTGTCGACACGAATGCTTTTTGGTGATCAAACTCGGTGTGAATTTAATGTTAACTCTCTTTTGTATATGACTACTGTTTCAGCATCAAGAGAGCTTCAGATAAACTCATTTGAAACATAACTCATCATTGACAAAAAAGGTTCAATTTCCGACTCATTTACATACATGAGGTTGGGAAGTTCATAGACATGGACCTGATCACTCTGTCTGACCAATCTCGCCTTCCAAAATGGCGTGTCTTGTAAGAACAATCTCTTTAACAAGGTTTCTGTAAACAAAGGGCCTAACAGCAGCACGGAGGAAGAGCTCAGGTGGGATCCTACTCTTCTTTATCTTCTTCATCCACCTTCCATACCCAACTGTCTTCCACTCTTCCGGCTTCACTTTCGCCTTCTTACCTCTCATCTCCAACTCATCTCCTCCAAATGGTGCTGTTGTTTCTCCCTTTTCTCTTCGCTCCATTGCCTTTAACTGCTTCTCATAAAACTTATCTGACACCACCATACTCATCTTCGCAAGCTTCTCCATCTTATCCGCGCTACTCAACGCTTTCTCGAACTGATCTTCCCAATACCTCTCATCCTCTTCCGGATCCGACTCCTCTATCTCTCCTTCCAAACCCTCTTCCTCCTCGTTTTCCTCCACATCCACTACCATGTTATCCTCATCCTCATCTTCATCTTCTTCTTCTTCTTCCACCTCCCCACCGTCGTCTTCAACCCACTCAGAGAATTCAGCCTTCTCTGAGTTACTACTAATGTTCCTCTCATCCTCCTCCGGAGCATCACACCCTAGCTCCATCTCCTCCAGCTTTGCTTTCCACTCTTTCGTATACGGATGCAACAGCTCGATCGGGTGGTTCCCAAGCAAGAACTTCAACACTTTGGACTTCTTCTCATCGCTCGACTTCTCATAAGCATTCACCACATCATCCACAAAAGCCGTCTGCCTCACCTTCAGCATCTTACACAGCCCTCCGTAGTAAGTACTCAAATCCACTCTACCTTCATCATCCTCCACTTCAAACGCGAATCCAGACTCCGTCACCGGGTTTAGATAAGGAATGATCGAGCTAAAGAAGTCTTCTTGAGGCTCAAACCTACACTGAAACACCGGCTTCTTCACATACACAATATCAGGCCTAAACCAAGCCGCACATTGACATATCAAAGATCTCGACTTGTTCCCCAATCTCCCCATCAGATTCCATTTATCCAACCTCTGCTTCTTATCTGCTTCCACCACAACTTCGCTCACCAAAGTCCATTGCTCCCAAGGCAACTCACTAAGCCTCCATTTCGGATGCCTAACGAAAACCCAAAAGTACCTCAAACCAACATTCGAATCCAACTCCTTGACTCTCTTCTGAAAAGCAATGTTCATCTCATGCTGCTCAATCTTCTCAAACTCTTCATGATTCTCCACTTCACCAATCATCGTAACACACTCATCAGAGATTGTACCACGAACGGGGTCACCAACCACAACACCGCGCCACGAGTACGGTCCAAACTCTCCGTACTTGAACCAGTCATAAGGATGACGCAATCTCGGGTCGTCCTTATCCATAAACCGGACCATCCTATCGTAACCGAGCCCAATCATCTCAAGCTCCTCTTCCGTGAACTTATCCGGATGGCTACTGAGAATGCTGCTCCGGCTCTTGTCGGGATTGTTGTACAATCTGTAAAACAGAGATTCCGCTAGCTTTTTCGATTTCTCACGAGCGTTACGCTTCACCTTCTTCCTCATATCCGCATCCCCTTCTATCCTCCCGCCTGACGAACCTCCGGGTTTCTTCTTGCTCCGCCCTGCCAGAGCGCGAACGTCTCGCCGGAATCCACCATCATTTCCGAGCGAAAGGTCGGACCTTTTGTCCCCGAACGCGAAATTCCTCTCTGTAACCGGTAAAACCGAGACGGTCCTTCGCGCGACGGACTTGGGTTGAGAATTACGGAAGGAGAAAGAGAAGAAGGAGAAGCTAGGGTTCAGGGTTTTAGAAAAGGATAAATCTTGACCCAGCATTTCTTCCTTCCTTCGCGAAACGAAACAGCGTTTGCGATGATTAGAGTAGAGATTTAGAAACGGTAAAGTATAATATAAGCGGAAGGATACGACGGCGTTTTGCCGAGACCAGAAATAAACTAAAAGATCCTGTCTTTTTTATTTTTTTTTCTTCTTCCACTGTGATTTGCGATGGCGAAGAGGATCCACCTGACGGAATTAGGCTGCATCGCGTGCGAGGAACTTAGTGAGCTCGGTGCGGGCAAGGAAGGGTGGCTCGTGAACAACCCGAACCTTCTTTGCGCACTCGATTCCCACTCATTAGCCCTAGCCAATCGGTTTCTCATCCTGATTGTGAATTGGGGTGATCCTGATGCGCCTCGCATTAAGATCAGACCTGATCTGTCTCCGATTGAGGCGGAGTCGATTACGGCGATCGAATGGTTAGTGTTTGATGACGTCAGAGTCGTAGTTGCCGGGACTTCCTGTGGATATCTCCTGGTTTACTCTGTTTCCGGTGATCTGATTCATAAACAGGTTAAAGTTTCGTTTTTTCCTTGGTTCCCATTATTGAAGTTTCTAGTTTTGGAACTCTAAAATGATGTTTGGTTAAAATGTGGAAACATTGATTTGTATTTATATACAGATTGTACATCCAAGCCGTATCTTGAAGCTAAGAATTCGAGGAACGAAGAAAGATTTGATGCAAGAGACATCCTCTGAGGAGATTTGCATTGTATTGCCTGGCATTATTGCCCGCTTTGATGGCTCCAATATTCAGGTGACTCTTCTGTTCATGTTTTCTCTCGAGGCTTACTTTGAAAAGTTTTTTGCTTAGCTCTGAGATCTGTTTGTTTCGTCTTAATAACTGTAGAGTATGATTGAGAAATGGTTTCAAGAAAAAAATTCGAATTTTTGGGACCAAAAGAACAGAAAGGGAGATGCAGAAGAAGATAGTGGTAGTAAGTACCAACGACTACCGTATCAGATATGGAATGTCAACAAGAATGGTGCCTGCGTTGATGCTACTGTCACTGGCATTATGCCTCCTCCTTTACTCGAACATCAGGTAGTCATGTGTGTGCATGATCTTAATTTATGTTATGTTTCTGCTGTCATGTAGTTTATATTCCGGTGGCTGATTTGATTCTTTGACAGTCAAGTCAACGTTATTATTGTGCAGTGACCATTGGAGAGGATGCTGTAATCTCAGCTTACAGGTTGGTAATATGTCTCCAGTGAATGTTTTTCATATGTTACAATCATCATTGTGTTCTTCTCTTGGTTCTGTGATCTCTTTTGTTGATTAGTGTTGTTATGTATTATGCTTCTTTTAAAAGGCTCTCAGAAGATAGAGGTAGATCAATTGTTGGAGCGATTCTATCAAAAGTTGTGCCTGCAGCTGCGTCAACCATAGCTTCTTTCTCGAAGCTGATCTGGAGAAGCAATGATCAGTCACCAAAGCGAAAGCCAGAAGCCAAGACTCAGTCATTTGCTCGAGGTAGATTTCATACTTCACTTAAGAATATAATCACAGCATCCATCTACGGCTTAACCTTGTTGAACTGTTGGTGCAGCATCATCCTTGACATGTATACAAGACTACCCAAGGAAAGGCGAGAAGCTGACGTTATCCCCGAGTGGGACGTTAGCTGCGATCACTGACTCTCTTGGTCGTATACTTCTGCTAGACACTCAAGCTCTGGTCGTTGTCCGTCTATGGAAGGTTTGTTTAACAAACATCCTTAATACTTTCCTCGCTTAGAAACAAGTCCAACCGAGCTTTCTTTGGTAGGGTTATCGTGACGCAAGCTGCGTGTTCATGGAGATGTTAGCCAAAAGAGATAAAGGAAAATCTGTTATTCACACAGATCCGGTGAAAAGCGATTACTGTCTATGCTTAGCCATTCACGCTCCACGCAAAGGCATCATCGAGGTAAAAACATTGCCTTCTCTCAAAAACACACATTAAAAGATTGGATAATTGTCCTTGTGTTGATTATATGATTCTGCACCCTGTTGAAACCAGGTGTGGCAGATGAGAACAGGGCCACGTCTTCTAACGATGCAATGTACAAAAGGTAGCAAACTTTTGCAGCCGGCGTACAGGTTTGGATCAAACTCTTCATCTTCTCCTTACATTCCTCTTGAAGTCTTCTTGCTCAATGGAGACTCCGGCCAAGTCTCTTTGCTCAACCGTTCTTTATCTTAATTATCTCTTAACCTCATGATTTTCAATAGCCTTCTTCTTTCACAAACCTTTTGTGCATAGCTAAGCCAAGTCTCTAATTTATTATGAGAGCAAGAACTTGCACTGAATCTTAATGTGTAGTCGTTGTTTATACTTTTTTCTTTCGATAATTGATTTTGATGCTATGATTGTAACTACAAAGACTCTTTAATTTGTCTATTGCTTTACGTCAAAAATTCAACAAACTGTTTTCTTCCATATAGATTTTGTGCTACGTTTTGGTTTTGCTATTGATTCCTAACATTCTCTCAATTTCTTTAAGTAAAATGAAAGCTAAATCACTAGTTAACTACTAAAATATTCCATTTAAGTTCCCAAGAAACGATCTTGTTTTCTTAAATTCTTGATTAATAATTACTGTAATCATTTGTTTTCTTGGAGTAATAAATAGTATTTCTATCAGTTGGATCACCAAACAGAGACTAGAAGATAAGTCGTACGGTCATGGCTTCCTTTCTTTCTCCGGTCATCTTCTTCACCGTCTTCTTCTCCCTCCACTCTCATTCTACCGTCGCCGATCTCCATGTAACCAGATCGCGTTTCAAACCTCTACATTTCTCTCCTCTCTTCTTCTCTTCTCCTACTCAAAACGTCACATCACCACCTACTCGCTACTTCGAGGTCAAAAAGCCTCCCGTTCCCGATCTCCCGGCAGCTCAACGACCCTGCTCGCATCGGATTCTCCACCACGACTTCGGCTACACCTACGCTAAACCGCCGGTTCTCGCCAATTACACACTCCCCTCTCACTGCCCGTCTCCGGAATTCTCCAAAATCGTCCTCGAGTTCAAATCCACCAGCAAAGGAAGACAATTCGACCGGATATTCGGCGTATGGCTCGACGGCGTTGAGCTTCTCCGGAGCTGCACCGCCGAGCCTAGGGCAAACGGAATCGTCTGGTCGGTGGAGAAAGATGTGACCAGGTACCACTCGATCCTCGTGAAGAACGAGACTCAGATTCTCGCCGTTTACCTCGGCAATCTCGTTGACAAAACTTACACCGGAGTTTACCATGTCGATGTCATCTTCCATTACTATCCCCTCCAGAGAAATCTCCGAGATTCTTCATCTGGTTACAGCTCTCCTCAAGCCGATGTGATCCTGCCGATCTCGAGAAATCTCCCGCTAAACGATGGATTGTGGTTCGAGATCGTGAATTCGGATGAGTCAAAGTACAAAGAATTCGAAATCCCTAGGAATGTGTATAGAGCTGTTGTCGAGGTTTATGTGTCTTTCCATGAGAAGGATGAGTTTTGGTATGGGAATCTTCCAAACGACTTCGTCACTGCCAACAATCTCACCTCTGCTGGTAACGGACCTTTCAGGGAAGTTGTGGTTACTCTCGACGGGAAAGTCGCCGGCGCGGTTTGGCCTTTCCCTGTGGTTTTCACCGGAGGGATCAATCCTTTGCTCTGGAGACCAATCACAGCTATTGGCTCTTTTGATTTGCCGAGTTATGACATTGAGATCACACCGTTCTTGGGAAGCTTGTTAGATGGAGAGAGTCATAAGATTGGGTTTAGTGTGACCAATGCGTTGAATGTTTGGTATATAGATGCGAATCTGCATCTTTGGTTGGATCATGAGAAGGAGATCGTCGAAGGGAAGGTCTTGGAGAGTAGTGGAAGCTCTCTGGAGATTAGCGAAGTCTCGGACTTCAAAGGATTGAATGGAAACTTTACAACGGAAGCTAAGCGGTCGATAACATCGATAGGATTGGTTAAGTCCTCTCATGGGGATGTTGTAACCAGTGCCAATCAAGAATTCAGCTATGTGAACAAAATGGTTTTAGGTAAAGATGGGAACTTGCAGATCATTGATCAGTTGATAAAAGCTGATGATCGTGTTCACGCCAAGAGAGGTTCGAGAGAGATCTACGCCGCGAGATCCATCAAGAGCTTTCCTTTTTACTTAAAATCCGACTCTTTGGAGAAGGGTAACGCGTCTTTGGAGGTTGCGAATGTGACGATGGGGTTCAACGAGGAGAGGTCAGAGAGTGACAGAGTGGTTATGAGGACGTTGAAGAGCAAGGTGGAGAACAAGCAAGAAGGGCAAGGGGTTATGGTGGTGAAGAATAACTTGGTGGTGAATGGATATGGAAGCACGCAGCAGGTGTATGACTATGTTGGAAGTGACCAGTGTTACTTTAGGAACATCAGTAGCTTCAACTACACTATTCTGTATGATAAGGTTGAAACTGTTTGCAAGAAGAAAACGCTGAAGCTGCCTCCACGGCTCACTGGTCAACCCTTACTTGCTTGATATTGACCAGCGACAGAGAGACCTTGCTCTTACTGTGAATGTGAATGTGAATGTGAATGTCAGTGTCAGTGGAAAAAGAAACATCAAAAATAAAATGAGAGTTTTCATGTTTCTTCTGTATTGTTTACCCAATTTCGGGGTTGTATGTGGAAGGTAAGTAGTTATGTAGTGTGTAAAACACTCAGGCTGTGAGAATAAACCGATCAATTTAATTTGATATTAAAGCTAACCGGTGTGTGAACCATTTCGTTGCAATTCTGATTTGGTAAACCGGCGAATCGTACCGGGAGTTTTAATGTTAGTGTGTAAAACACTCTGGTTGTGACAATAAAGCGATCAATTTGAGTTGATATTAAGAGTTAACCGGTGAGTGAACCATTTCGTTGTTGGTTACATAACGGCAAATTCTGATTTGGTCAACCAGCGAATTGTACCGTGAGTTTTACTTTTACCCCAGAGGAGAGAGGAAGAGCAAAGAAAATCCGAAAGGTGGGTCCTACTATTATCTAGATAAATCATACGTGGCAAAATCACGGCCGTCAAATATGTTGACTTAATAAGGTCAAACCTTAAATCGCATCCCTCGAATCTCTGTCTTCTCGGTGATAAGGAAACACCAGGCTTGACCGGCCAAGGAGCGGGACTAATCAGAGCAGCATTTGATCTTCGAAGTTTAAGTTCTTCTGTGATTGAGAATGAGCTTATCATCGCCAACCAGGTCATTAAAGTTTCAAGTTTTTATTCTCTCCAATTGGAATCTTTGCTTAATCCGAAGACTTGATATTTTTTTTCGTGGGATTATGTATACAGTGCCTGTAGTTCGTCGAGATGTTACTCCACGGGTCTGTCGTTGCCGATAGGGTTTCGATCCAATTCCAATCCCATCAATGTGGGGTTGGTTTGTTACCCAACAAGAAGACACAATAGTGCTGCTCGCAAGTTCGTCGTCGCTTGCTCCTCCTCCTCCTCTTCTTCCGGTACGTATCTCCTCCAATCCAAATTCCGAATCTTCTGCAATTAAGTGAAATTTTACATCTTTGGTCGATTCGGGTTTCTAGCTGCTCATTGAAAGTGTCAAACTTTAACTGCGCTTGAATTTAGATGTTTAGCATGAATGTTGCCCTTGAAATGTTGTTCCTTTAGGATCATAAAAGGTTCAAAGTATGTGAAAGCCTTATCCTTTTGTAAGTCTAGTGAATCTTTCTCACATTAACACATTTTGTTGAATCAGATCCACTATTGGTCAAGGCTGCAAAAGGGCAAGCAGTGAGTCGTCCTCCAGCTTGGATGATGAGGCAAGCAGGAAGGTACATGGCAGCTTACAAAAAGCTCGCCCAGAAACACCCATCCTTCAGAGAGAGATCAGAGAACACTGATCTTATAGTGGAAATCTCTTTGCAGCCTTGGCAAGCATTCAGACCAGACGGTGTCATCATCTTCTCTGACATCCTCACGCCTTTACCTGCATTCGGCGTCCCATTCGACATCGAAGAAGTCAAAGGCCCCGTGATCCAATCTCCTATCAGAACTGAAGAAGATTTGAAGGGACTGCATCCTATTGATCTCGAGAAACTGCAATTCGTTGGTGACTCTCTCAAGATACTGAGACAAGAGGTCGGGGAACATGCTGCGGTATTAGGTTTCGTTGGAGCGCCTTGGACGATTGCGACTTATATTGTTGAAGGAGGAACAACTCGGACGTATACAGTGATAAAGAGCATGTGCCACACCGCACCAAATGTACTAAGAGCTCTCTTATCTCATCTAACCAAGGCCATCACTGAGTACGTTGTTTACCAAGTTGAGCATGGAGCTCACTGCATTCAAATATTCGATTCGTGGGGTGGACAATTGACTCCTGAGATGTGGGAGCGTTGGTCCAAGCCTTACATCGAAGAGGTATAGTGTTTAAGTGTTTCCATCTTGAGGACTTTGAAAGATTCTCTTTTGAAGTTAACGTTTTGTGTTGGTTCGTTTTGGCTCGGCAGATCATTCATGCTGTAAAGAGAAGATGTCCAGATACGCCAATCGTTTTTTACATCAATGGAAATGGTGGTCTTCTTGAACGAATGAAAGGAACTGGAGCTGATGTTATTGGACTTGACTGGACTGTAGATATGGCTGATGGAAGGAGGCGATTGGGAAGCGATGTTAGCGTCCAGGGAAATGTTGATCCGGCTTTCTTGTTCTCTCCGCTTCCTGCTTTAACCGAGGAGATTCAAAGGTATGTAGATGCTTTGCTCAGCTGAAGATAAGCAAGAAACTGAATGAAATGTCTGTTTTGTGGTTCAGAGTTGTGAAGAGTGCTGGACCAAAAGGGCATATACTCAACCTAGGACATGGTGTCTTGGTAGGGACGCCAGAGGAAGCGGTGGCTCACTTCTTTGAAACAGCTAGAAGCTTGGATTACAAAACATTCTTCCAAAATCATGTTCCTGCAGAAAAAGCTGAATCTGAATTGGTTGCCTGAGATACGTTTGAACAGACAGGTGATACAAGTCTCTACGCTGAAGAAATCAGTTTTGTGAACATATGTTTGAATCTGTTAATGTTGGTGCAGGAATCAGAGAGAAACTTCCATGTCTGACTCATAAACTTATCCCAGAGTTGGTGACTTGCGATGAGAGACATTCGAAGCTGCCCTGGTCTTTTAACTCTTAACATTGTCCGAGTTGCTCCATGTTGCTCCTTTTTTTCTTTGAGATATGACTCGGTTAAAGTATAACCAGACATCAATCTGGTTAATGTTTTAAACCTTTCCCTGTTTGTTCTCTCTTTTTCTTAGTATAGTTCTTTGTCGATCTATGTATCTGATGTATCTTCTCTTGCCCCACTTCGTTGTGAAACCAGGTAGCTTGTTTTGTATCTGATTTCAGCCTATATCGAATTGGTTTGGTTTTATGCGATGAAATTCCCGGTTCGGTTTACCTGAAGTTATCGAGTTCACTACAAACTTAGAATGTAACGCATTTTCCCATTAGAATGTAATATCACAAACAAAAACATAGAAACAGTTTTAACTTTTAACTTTTAAGTTCAATGAACATGTGACTAATAAAGACAACATGGAACAGTTGAAGAGGTTATGAAAGAATATTATGTGAAACCATATAAAAATACAACAAGATATTAAAGAGAGGTTCGGGAGAAAGATGAAAGAATTACAAAATGTTTGGTTTTGGTTTTGGGTTTGAAAAATATTTTGGTTTGGTTTGGATTTGGTTTTTTCTTCTTCTTTTTCTTAGGTTGTATGGGTTTAAGTTTTCTCATGTCTGATTGTGGTCAAATACCAATTACAAAATGTTGTTAGCAAACTAAAACTCATTGCTAGTACTACTCCAACGTTTTGGAATATCTTACACAAATTTAAACAAGTGTACTTTTCGTGTATTTTTCAAAATCACAAATAATAAAATATAAGAAAAATGAAATTAAAATATAATAAAACAATTCAACTCCATAAACCGTTTGTAAAAAAAATGATAGTATGATGATTTTATAGTTGAAATGTGGTTTTTGTCTGATCGAGTTTTTCAACTATTTTTATTTTTGAAAGGTCACTAGCATTCCTAAAAATATATATATATACATATTATTAATATATATTAGTTTATAAATATATGTTTACAGATAAATAATGTTTTACATTTGCCTGGTCTGCCTTCTAACGTAGTAAAAAATTATGATAAGTCTTGGATTCATTGTATGTAAGAAAGAGATGAGAAATGAGATGAATAAAAGAGAATAAGAAAAAAATAAGATAATGAGGCAGAAATGGAAGAGATATTAGATTAATTTGTTGTTTACAGTAAACAAATTAATCTAAATACTCTTTCTTTATTATGCATCCTTATTCTTTATCAAATCTATAATTTATCTATGCTCTCATTTCTTCTCCATTCTTAGTTACTTTCTCTATTTTTTTTAAGTTACTTTCTCTATTTTCTTTTGAATATCATCTCTTTCTCAATACTACGATTATTATTGACCATTAGAAGGTTCAAGTTTTAGACCATTATATAATTATTGCTTTTATTTAGTTTATTCTAATTTGACTAATTTTGACTCTTTAATTATAGAGATCAAACATAGCGACATGAATCATTATCCAATAATCTTGATTTTGAAAACGAAATCAATATACTTGATAGAATTTTAGTTAAAGTAAAACGAAAAACAGCTTAAATTTTTGAAAAAAAGGATTATTTATATGATAATTTATATGATAATTTACATGATCTAAAGTCAAATGAAATCCTAAAAATTGAGATTATTTATAGGGGAAATTTCAAAACTACACCTCTTGAGATGCAATTTTCAAAAATACACTTCTATGGTGCCAATTTTCAAAAGTACACTTTTTTCATTTAGTAAAAGAACTCTAAACCCTAAAATATAGATCCTAAACCCTAAAATCTAACATTGAACCCTTAAATCTGAACCCTAAACCTCAAAATCTAAACTCTAATATAGGATTAGTGAACCCAAACATATATATTAAAATTGGGAAAATGTGTATTTTTGAAAATTTCCACACTATAGGTGTAGTTTTGAAAATTTGCACCTCAAAAGGTGTATTTCATAAAATTTCTCCTTATTTATAAGATAGAGTGTGTATTGTATATATAGTCACTACCATGGCCTCACCATTTTGCTTTCATGAATCATCCCACTTGTAAGAGATACAAATCGATCACTAGTGTCTTGACCTCCCTGAATGTTTCTGATAAATAATGTTAACTATCATCTAATACGTCAACCCAATTATCACCGACACTGACCCCACACCAAACCATCATCTTTAACTTAATAATAATGTAGCTATCATCCGATACATTAATCCAATAACTGAACATTGTTATTTCTTTGGTCTATAAAGGTATCTATAAAGTACAAAGTTTTTGTCTATAACTAATTCAGCATTATTGCTAAATTTCAGATCAAGAAGACGCCATGATTCATCAAAAACCATAAAGAAATACAAAAGGGTCAATGAAAAA